AGTTGCTGTTAGTTGCAGCAAGTTGCTGTAGCGATGTCGTACAAAATGTTGTTCCAACACGCTAGTACCCCGAGAAACCCCCTAACGACAGTTCTTCGAACTGCGAAATATGCTTACCGTACAAAATCAGTCAAAAAGTGGTCTTACAGGCATTGTGATTTAAAGTAACTTTCTTTAGTACCACTGACGTACGTGCTTGAATCAATGCTAGCAAGCCGGATGCTCGGTGAACGCAAGTCCGAGCGACAAGTGCTCGGATACGTCCCCAGCTTGAGGCGTGAAGGGCCATTAACGATGCAGGATCTTCGTCGCTTTGAGCAGGATCGCTACATCCTTCAAGTCCGCCAGGATATTATTGACGAGCAGCAGCAGAATGCACAGGGATTACCGTCAGACAAGTGGAAATCAATTGAGGTCGAAGCATTTCAAGTCAATCGTACCAAGAAGGCCGTACAGAAGGACTCTGAACTGGACAAGCCACTCACCGAGACCGAGAATGCGCTCAAGTTCGGACTCTTTTGCATGACACTCATGTACTTCCGAGGCTTATCCTTGCTCAAGAAACAGAAGACTGTCTGGTCCGTCTCGGCAGCAAAGCGTAGTGCCGAGCCGCCGAAAAGTGCCGAACGTCTTCGTATGGACAAAGAGAAGAGGAACGTGGAGCTGCGAACTCGTAAGGCAGCGTTCTACGACGAGAAGGCTCGAATCGGCCAAGCTCGCAAGCAGAAATTCCACGAACAAAAGTTGGCGGCCTACAGGAAGCGCTTGGTGGATGAAAACCGCAAGGTCAAGAGAGAGAGGTCAGCAGCCATCAACATCCAGCGCGTGTATCGTGGCCACTTGGGCAAAATCGCAGGGAAAAAGTGGATGCTGCGTCGACGAGAGATCGACGCTCAACGCGCTCTGGATCATGCGGCTGCAATCACGTTGCAGCGAGCCTACCGTGGTCGTCTTGGCCGCATCGCAGCCGAAGACCAGCGTGTGGAGCTGGCCGAGTTCATTTCACAGATCCGAGCAGAGGAGGCGATTGCCGAAGAGGAGGAGTACTGGGAGAGCCACAGAATGGAGCGCTTAGCTCGGAAGGTCGCAGCTTTCGTCAAGAGAGAGGCCTAAGTTCGCCAAACTACAAGTACGTTGTAACAGTGAATTGTTTAGTAGGGCCATGGAGCTTTTCTCTCTTACCCGAGGTTGAGCTAAGGCTGTTCGGCAAATGGTAAGGTAAGGCTGACCAGCTTCACCAGTTCTTCAGCCTTCTTGCGACGGTTCTGCGTTTGTTTGGATACACGTGTCCATTTCTCGCCGTGATGAGGGTCCGCGGTTACAGCACGCTTTATGATCTTCTCCGCTGCCTCCTTCGAGCCGTGTTTTAACTCGAACAGATAGTAATGAGCCCACGCATCTCCGAAATCTGAGTCCAACTGAATAGTTCGTTCCAACCACTTGCGCGCCTTCGAGTATTTGCGCTCTTGCCAGAACAGCTTCGCAACAGACAAACACACTGACGGGTCGTTATCCTTCTTCTTGAGCGCAGTGAACGATGCACGCTTTTGTTGCGCTCGAGGGGCTATATCGATGGCCTCAGCCAATAGAATACCCGATTCAGGACACTCCTGCAAAGCCTTGGCCATCAGCATTTCCTGTCCCTTGGGGTTATCCCATCGAGCCTCCAGACGAGCAGCTTCCAGCCACAACACATCGTTCTTGGGGTTTTTAAGACGAGCCATTTCCAACACCGACCGGGCCTTTGTCACACCGTTCATCTTCTCCTCTAAGCGGCTGGAAAGAGTCCACAAGGGAATCGACTTTGGACAGTGTTGGACTCCTTCGCGATACATCTTTTTCGCCTTCTCGTAGTTGGGCGGATCCAGCGCTTCATAAAATTGCCCAGCCATCATATACAGCTTGGGGAAGTCTGGGTACAACTTGATACCTTCCAGTACGAGATCTTCTTCGTCTTTGCGGTTCTCGGCACATTCCCTTTCAAGCAGTACAGACTTCATCCACACATGGGGCGATGGGGCTTGAGCACGCGCCTTGGCCAGCAATGCCCGAGCCAAGTCGATCTCGTCATTCTCCCACTCCAGCTTGACGGCTGCCAGCCAAATCGCCTCACTATTGGGATTAGCACTGAATGCTTGGCGCAGAATCAAGCGTGCATTCTCCACTGAGCCGTTCGTCCAGACCTCCTTAGCAGCCATGAGCCACAGAATCTCTGCTTGAGGGCAACACGTAACAGCTTTCTGTAGTAGCTGCTCGACAGGTTCGGGGCTCTTGCCCTCCTGCACTCTCTTCTCCAGGGCGACAGCACGTAGCCAAATCGATTTCTTGCCAGGGAACACCTTCAACGCAGCAGCGTAGATAGCCTTCGCAGTCAGCAGAGCGCCGCGGTTGATGCTGTTCTCAGCATCATCCATCCACGTGCGTTTCCTGTCTTCAGGGTCCACCCCCACATCCAAGCTTGCACGAACAATTGCCGCACACGTCAATGGCGCATCGGCTTGCTCGCACGCTTCCGCTTCCTTCAACCACATCTCTCGGTTCATAACAACCTGGTGCTTCTGCAACGACTTGAGCGCCAATTGAATGATACGATCAATCATGTCCAGGTTCTTTCCTTGCGCTTCTTCCAGCTTGGCAGCTGTGATCCAGATAGACGGCTCTGTAGGGATCGCAGCGCGTGCCTTATTCAACGTCTTCTTAGCGTTCTCATACGTCTCCAGACGAGCCAACGCCAACCACAGATCCACAGCTTGTGGAACGCACTCGACAGCGCGGCCAAGCAGGATCCGTGCGCCGTCGACATCTTCCAGTTCGATCAGTGCCTTCCACAGCTTCACAGAGTTCGGAATAAACTCAAGAGCACGTCGCATCACCAGCTTCTTCAGCTCGTCATCACTCTCAAGCTGCGCCGCTTGGAGCCACACCTTGACCGACTTGGGCACGTGTCGTACAGCCTTGGCCAGAATCGTCTTGGCGTTCTCCGGATTCTGCAATCGCGCAGCTTCGAGCCACACATCCTCCTGCGTAGGACAAGACTCGCAACCCTGCGCAATAATCTTCCTGGCCTGCACAATTTTGCCCGCGACTTCCTCTAATCTCGCAGCTGCGATCCATCCCGGTCCATGCTTGGGGTTCGTCATGGTTACAGACCTCAACAGCAGTCTCGCCTTCTTGATATCTCCAATCTCGGCGTCACTGGTGAGTTTTAGACTGTTTAAGTCTGTTAAATATCCCTTGGGGTCCACGACGGTCTGACCCGAAATGGAGTCCGACATCTTGTCCAGCTTATGGGACAACTGGGCGCCTCTAGCTCCTGCCAAGCCCGTCACAGAGCTTGTCATGCCACTGGGCGTCTCTATCCCGTTGCCTGCGGGTGTAATAGTCCCACTCACGGACGAGGAGTGGCCTGCATTGGTTCCTAAGACACTGTCGGGTACGGGTGCGAACATCTCGTTCCGCTTCTGCAGCGCTGTGTTGGTCTTGTACTTCAGAGAATAGTCTCCAATGTCCGGGATCATTTCCCACTCAGCGTCTGACATTTGCTGCAATGAGCTCTTGAGGTCTGCGAACTGGTCGCTGATCTTGGGCATCTCCTTACGCGACTTCTTGAGCTCCTCGAGCTGCTTAAGTTCCCTGCGTCTCTTACGTCGCGAGTCCATCCGCTCATCCACTTGCTCGTAAATATCGTCCGCTTCCTTGTCATCCGCATCGTACGGTGTGTCCTGGAACAGGCCACGCGACGAGTAGCCACTGAATTCGTCGTAGTTGGTCTCGCTATAATCGCCAAAGTCCTCGTTTTCGTCTTTTTCTCGTCCAAATCCGCCCATACCGGCGGTACCGGAGCCGCGACCAGCGCTTGGTCCTGGACCGGGTCTTCCTGGGATCTCCACGCCGCGTCCGCGTCCAGCGGGAGGCAGAAACGGAGCGTCCTGCGTCCCGTCCTGCGTCATGGGCGCGCGCGCCGGCCCGATGTCCGAGCGCGTCGTGAAGCCCACAGCACCACGACCCAGACCAGGCACATAATTGGCCGGTGCGCCCGACGCGTACGTGTTGCGCACACGCTGCCCAAGTCCGCTCATGGGTCCCAAGTTACCTACTGGCCGGCGTGTGATCTCAAAGTATACCTGGACGACTTATCCGGATATGTGGTGTGGGCCACGTGTTTAGATGTAAAAAGTACTTTGTATAGAAAAAGTGCACATTGGTTTCGGACCACTTTTGATCTTTTTTTATTAAGGTGGACCACAAGCTATGAGCAGTCAAGGCAAGAACTTTTTTTTCAGAAAAAGTGTTTTATATATATTTGCGGAGAACTTGGTATACCTTAAGTGGCACGTCGGGTTCAAGTATTAAAACCTGACGTCTGGTTTTAAGCACTTGGAACATGATTCACGTCGGATCTCGTGTCCTTTCATACCTGAATCCGTCACTTGGTGACTAAGTCTGCAGCGCTGTGGTGATGTTGTCTTTGCTCCGTCCGAGTCGCCGCCTGCTCCTGCAACATGGTGCACGCTCACTGCAGACTGCGGGCGAGGCTGCTGCCAACGTGTCGTATACACGCGGGTTGTTTCTGGGTGTGAACAACGCGACGCGCGCCTTCCCGTACCCGAAGCTGTCGGACAGCGAGACGGAGACGCTGCAAATGCTCGTAGATCCCGTGAACAAGTTCTTTGGAACTGTGGACTCTCGTGCTATTGACGAGACGAAGGAGATCCCTAAGCAGGTCCTCAACGACATGAAGGAGCTTGGACTCTTTGGTCTCCAGATCCCTGAGGAGCTCGAAGGCCTTGGACTGTCGAACACAGGCTATGCGCGTGTGTGCGAGGAGATCACGGACGGTAGTCTGGCTGTGACGGTTATGGCGCACCAGTCTATCGGCCTCAAGGGCATCCTACTCAACGGCAATGAGGAGCAGAAGGCCAAGTACCTTCCCAAGCTAGCGACGGGAGAGCACATCGCGGCTTTTGCACTCACAGAGCCATCCAGCGGCTCTGACGCTGGGTCCATTAAGACGCGTGCCAAACTGTCGGATGACGGCAAGCACTTTATCCTCAACGGAGGCAAGATCTGGATCAGCAACGGCGGGTGGGCAGACGTCATGACTGTATTTGCGCAGACAGAGGTAGATGGCAAGGACAAGGTCACGGCCTTTATCGTCGAACGTGCCTTCGGAGGTGTGACCAGTGGCCCACCAGAGGATAAACTCGGTATTCGTGGCTCCAACACTTGTCAAGTGTTCTTCGACAACTGCAAGGTGCCCATTGAGAACGTACTGGGCGGTGGTCCAGACATGAAGACCGGCGGTGCTGCTGGTGTCGGTCAGGGCTTCAAGGTGGCCATGAACATCCTGAACAATGGCCGCTTCGGTCTTGGTGCTTGTGCTGGAGCGTCGCTACGCCGTGTGCTGGGCGCCGCAGCAGAGCACGCCAACTCCCGCAAGCAGTTTGGTGCTCCTCTGGCAAACTTTGGCCTCATCCAGAAGAAATTCGGGGTTATGACTCTGGACGCGTATGCCATCGAGTCCATGGCCTTCATGACCACGGGTATGATTGACCGTGGCGATCCGTCCTGCGAAATCGAGGCGGCCATGTGCAAAGTGTACGGGTCGGAAGTGGCTTTCACGGGTATCAACGAGTGCATCCAGGTCATGGGCGGCACGGGGTTCATGAAGGAGTGGCCGTTCGAGAGACTTATGCGTGACTGCCGTATCCTATCGATCTTCGAGGGAACGAACGAGATTCTCCGCATGCTGATCGCTCTCAGTGGAATTCGGGTGCGTACAATCTGATCTATTGCTTTAGTCTGAGACTATTAACTCGCGTTGTTGCAGACTGCTGGTGAACGCCTGTCAGCTGTGGGTAAGTTGCTGCAGAACCCGTTATCCGACCCATCGAGCGCTGCCAAGGAGATCTCGGATCGTCTGCAACGCAAGTTCTCGCCCACTCCACTGGAAGGAGTGCACTCGAGTCTGAGAGGACCCGCCGAGCTGTTGCAGAAGCGCACTGCCGACTTTGGAGACGCTGTGGAGTTCCTACTGCGCAAGCACGGCAAGAAGATCGTGGACGAGCAGATGCAACTGGAGCGGATCGCCGACTCCGCCATCGCGCTGTTCGCCATGACAGCCACCATCTCTCGCGCCACGGCATCGCTGAACGCAGGAATTGAGTCTGCCGAGCACGAGAAGAAGCTCACGACGCTGTACTGCGACCTGACGTCCGACAAGATCCAGTCGCTCCTGAATGGCATCAAGACGGCCGTCAAGCACGATCAACAGCTGCGCGAGATCGCCAACGAGGTGCTCAAAGCCGAGAAGTATATCCCCAGCCACGCTACGGGCATCGACTGCTAAAGCTGATGCCTAAGAAAGATTGAAGTACATGATACAAAAAATTCACGCCAAAAACAAAAACTGAAGCAAAAACTGATGTGGCACAAGATGTTGAAGTTTATAAATATCTTGCCTTTATTATTACTTCAGAGTGATGGTCACCATAACGAGAAACGTTGCCGTTATTTTCTGCACTCACCAATCTGCCAGCAATACCTCAATACCTTAGGGTCAATGGGGGCAGCGCTGTCTACAGGCCGATCGATGACGGTCACGCGGCGTCAGGACTCGTTGTCGCGGCTACGGGAGCGTGCGTACTCTCTGCTGCATCTGTGGGTGCGCTTCTGGATCTTCGCTACGGGACTGGAGAAGCACGAGCAGCTCGCATGGCGCATCGTGCAGCAACTTAAGCACCGTGTATACCGCACCGCAAACGAGAAACACGCGTTCTTCCACAACCTGGTCATGACAGTTGTAGAGCTATGGTTGAGAACGGTGCGAGCGGTGTTGGTGCCCGACGTCTTCGCTCGCTATCTGTGTGCGACCTTCATGCTGCACATAATCTATGAACTGCAGTCCATTGCTCGCCAAGTGTTGGGCAATACGTGCCTCAGACTCACAGCTAAGGGCCGACGCACATTGAGACTGCGACAACAGCTGGAGAACGTCAAGACCTTCCAAGAGCGACTGTCAATTGCTGGGGAGCTGGACAAACTCGAAGGTAAGGACAAGTGGCGAGAAGATCCTGCGTCCGGACTCTTTCTGTACGAGCGAGTGATGAATAAAACGCAGATGTACAAGAGACTGAAACTGGAAAACGACGTCATGGGGCTCATGTTCTCACTAAGAGCTGGGTTACTAAGGAAGCACTGGGGTCTCGGAAATCCAAGACTTTATTCAGCTAGCAATGGTAGGAGGCTGGTTATTATTTTTTATTATGCTCCATTTGTACTAATATTTATTTATATGAATATTATGCAGTGGGAACGAAACACGTGATCGAGGAGTATCTGGACACGATCGTGCAGTCGATGAACGTCGTGCTGCGTGCTAAAGGGACGGACGAAGAGAACAGCGACGAGTTGTCTATTGATAACAAACTAGCGTTCTTCAGTGAGACTCGTCATGCCTTTGGACGGTCTGCTTTGATGCTGTCTGGTGGTGGAGCCCATGGATTTTATCATGCTGGCGTGATTAAGGCTTTGGTGGAGAACAATCTGCTGCCTAATGTCATTGCTGGTTCGTCGGCTGGGTCGATTTTGGCAGGAGCGATCGCTGTTCGGAATGATGACGAGGTGTTGGAATTTTTGTCCGGAGAGAATGTGAACCTCAATTTCCTAGGACCAAACATTACAGAGCAGGACCGAGCTGACTACATGCCGTCGTTCTTGTCCCCTGCACAATTACTGCTTCCAAAAGGTGGATTTGAGTTCGTGCGAGACGCATTTATCCTACTTAATCGGTTCCTGGATAAGCGCTATGTATTGGATACAAAGACTCTCCGTGACTGCTTACGAAGTGCCATGGGTGACTACACGTTCCGAGAGGCCTACGACAGGACGGGTCGAATCATTAACGTCACGGTAACCCCATTGAGTGCTGATGATTATCCTCAGTTACTCAACTATCTTACAGCTCCGAATGTGATCATCTGGTCGGCATCTTTGGCATCATGTGCGATCCCGAACGTCTTCCGTCCAGTTGAGTTGCTGGCCAAGGATGAGAATGGAAATATCGTTCCGTACTATCGTGAGGGGCTGAAGTGGAGTGACGGTAGTGTCGAGTGTGATCTCCCCATGGAGCGACTCTCGGAGCTGTTCAACGTGAACCACTTCATCGTCAGCCAAGTCAATATCCACTACAAGATCGTGTCAGGTCACGCTGCGTTTGGAAATGGACAAACCGGTAGTCTCATGAGCTTCCTTAAAAAGCAGATGAAGGCCTACATCAAAAACATCGCAGAGTTCGGCTTGAACACTTCGGTGCTCAAGTTCCTCGACATTGGACTCGTTCCTTTGATCACACAGAAGTACGAAGGTGACATCACCATCTGTCCCACAGACAAAGTTCCCGCCACGACGTTATTGCGAACAGTGCTCACCAATCCAACGCGCGAAACGTATCCTGAACTTTTACTTGCTGGTGAACGAGCGTGTTGGCCAGCAATTGCACGGATCCGCACAATGTGTCGTGTGGAGTTCGCGTTAGAACGTGCAGTGCGGTACTTGCGTGGTGAACAAGCTCTTGAAGACGAGCGACGCAGCGGACGCAAGGCAATTGGTCGTGTGCCGTCGTTCTACACTTCTCCGAGCTCAATGAACCTGTCCAACCTGGATCAGTCCCCACCAACCATCCAGGGAAAACGCACTAGACACGGCAGTCTGGAGGAAATGGGTACCCCGGCTGCCAACCCCATGCGACGGAACAGATCCATGAACATCGCAGGCGCCGTCATCTCGATAGATGGAGGTGCTAATGCCTCCGACTTCAGCCACTTGGATCTGTAAAGCACTGTTACATGTTATTGATTTCAATTCCTTTTTTACCATTTACTAGGGTCCCCAACAACTGAAGTCAGAGCGTCGAAGAAATTTGACACTGGTTCCGGTGCACAGAAAATCTGCCGCACGTAGAAATCTGGTAAGGTCGATATCTTCTCGTGAAGATCGCCCAGTTGCTCCTGTAACATCCGTCGTTCCTCCTGCAACGTAATTATCCTGTCTTCATCTGCAAGACGCACCACATCAGTCACGCAGTCACGAAGCACTTCTTCGACTTCACGGTCGCCTTCTAGTCGTCCTAACTGTATCTGGATACGTTGAAGTCGAGCTTCCAAGCGAGCTTGTTCGCGCTCAGCGGCTTGTTTTAAACCGAGTTGCTGCGTTGCACTTTGTTTTAATCTTCGTTCCAGCTCGTCATTATCGCCTCGAAGACCTTCATAGTCCTTCGCTAGTTGAGCTCGTGCATCCACCTCCGATTCATACAATTGCTGTAGCTGCTGTCGCTCTGTATCCAGCAACTCCATTTCTCGCTCCTGCTGCTGAGCATCAAGCTCCGCCTTCTTGAGTTGTTTCTGCAACATCGCTCTCTCGGCTGTTTGGTCAGCAGCGCGACGTATCCACTCTTCTTTCTCCGCCTGATGCGTCGAGCGAAGCGATTCCACTTGTCTCGTCAGCTCTTGCTTGGTGCTCTGCGCCTCGGCTTCGACCTTAGCCAACGCCTCCTCTTTGTGTTGCAGTCGCAGTTGCGTCTTTTCCAGCTCTTTTGTCAACTCCGCCGCGAGTCCATGAAGTTGCTCGATCTTCTGGTTGAGAGTCTTGCACTCATTCTCCAAGTCTGCAATTGCAGCGACTTGCTGTTGTGACGCTTGTTGTAGTTCTGACAAGCGTTCAGTCTGACTAGCAACCTTATCTTCCAAGTGTGCCTTCGTTTCGAGGAGCTGGTGTACCTCCATACTTTTCTCTTGCAATTGCTGTTTCCACTCCATCTTCTCGTTCGTATGTTTTTGTTCAAGCTGCTCCAGTGTGTGGTTCCACTCTGCTTTCTCCTGTGCATGATTGTTAGCCATTCGCTGGAATAATGCTTCAAAGAACTCAAGCGAATCGACACGTAGAAACTGGTAGAATGCCTTCTTCTTCGCTGGACCGCGAGCTTTTCGATCGTAAACCTCTTCCAAAACTTTCATCGTAGCTTGGAACGCTTCCTCCTTATTCGCAGCAGCATCCCACGCGCCAGCAGCCAGAGGGCGAGTCAAAAACTTGGCATGTAATTTCGCTAAGGCTTTAACGCAAAACTTGCTAGAGCGCTTCTGCAGCTGCGTGATCAGAGTCGTACGTTGAGTATGCATGTGCTGTTTGAGCTTCTGAAAGCATACAGCTCGCGAAGCTCCTTCTACCGATCGCACCTTGAACAGCATTAGTGCTTGCTCTTGAGCGTCTTTATAGATCGCCTCAAACTCCGCTTGTGACAGAATCTTGGGACCACTTTCTGCTTCATCGCTACCACCTTCATCGGTATCTTCCTCCACTTCATCGGTATCTTCCGAGTCACCTTCGTAATTCACCTTTTTCACAGGCTTTTTGCCAGACGTAGCTTCCATCAAAGAATCATACAACTCGATTGCTGCAGCAAGTGCAGCTTGGCACGTCGCATCAGACACATACTCCCACGCAGCCTTGATATCTGGCACTGCACCACTGTTCATCGTGTCGGTGTAGCACCTCACAAGCTGAGCAACTTGTGGTCCATTCAGAGTCTTGCCTAATAGCTCCTTTGCAGCCACCGACGACAATAGACGACGCCGTATAGCGGACATTTGCTCCACGAACTCTGGTCGTAGCTCAGCATCCGAGAGCTCAGCTGCGCGTCGTAGATCACGTTCATCAGTCACGGGACGAACAAGTGTAAGGCATTCACGGCGACCGAACAAGACGCGAATGGAGGCTCGGGTGCGATTCCGCTCAACCTGGCGCAGCTTCGTGCTCTCCGAAGCTGTCGTACTGACGTCACGGGCATCCAAAGCATTCTCCAGATACTGGTTCGCAGTCAGGTCGTTGCCGTCAATCTGCATATCAAGCAGAAAGTCACGCAATAGCCATACGAACGGCGGAAAATGCGGCGCCAATGCCCGCGATTCCTCGAGTTTGTCACCACTCAGCGTCGACTCTTCTGGACTCGCAGCACGCTCACCAAAGCTGTTGCTGGAGGTACCAGGATGTGCACTAACACACACGTGCTTAGTCAGCTCCGACACAAGATAGAGACGATCAATGGCGCCCTCGTCGATCACGCCCATCGTGTTGAATACAAAAAGTGAGCTCAGTAGCAGTCCAAGCGAGAAAATCTTGGCGTCGTAGCTCTCGTCGTTGTCTGTGGAGGCCATACCCTCTGTGTCCAGGAACAGCACAAGTTGACCTGCAGGATTGCGTACTGGAGGCTGCGGCGCCCACAGCCAGATGCCTCTAGTACAAGACTCAGTGGTCGGTCCAACTCGGAAGCCATCGATCTTGGAACTTGCACTGCCATTGGATAAATTGCTATTGCTAACTGTAGATTCTTCAATGCTGTTGATCCACGGCAAGTCGTTGGGGCGAGATGCGAGTTGGTTGAGGAAGAAGCTCTTGCCCGTCCTAGCAGCAAAGAATGTCCTGTAAGTGTCGATATTTGTGGCAACATCAGCTCTACAACTCACCTATACTGTCCAGCCAAGCAGACAATTGCCACAGGCTCAGTGAGGCTCTCCAGGAGGCTACAACGGATGCAAAAGCGTCGATATCATTGAAAAATGTCCACAGAAAGTGTCAGTGACCGGAAAAAAAGCTGTAAATTGGCGCGCAATGGGTGATGAAGCTGCTGTAGATGTTGATACACGCACCTGATGCCAGCATCCGTCACGTGCAGTCCGTCCATGCCGCCCTCGATGAGGCACACGGGCGTCATGGCCGTTGCGTCCAAACCAACTTGAAATGAGTCAGTCTGTTGCAACGGGATGTGCAATTTGATGTGCATCACACCACTTTCTACAATTCAATGAATTGCGATCTTGAAGCGACGCGAACAAGTTGAAGCTCATTACAAAAAGTGACCATGGAGCTGGACCAGCTGGACGTCGTGAGCCGCTGCATCGGACAGACGCTGACGCCGCAGGAGCGGTCAAATCTGGAGCTGGGCATGCTCAAGCGTAGCGCCACCGAGACTTTCCAGTCGCTGCGCTTCTGGGGGCGTGTCTCGGGCGAGACGCAGGACTATCTCGTCTGCGTCGCCGTGATGCCCGGCAAAGACTATCCCAAGAAGAAGTTCTACTTTTGGTAGGCTGCTGAGCATACTGACTGATGCAAAGCAATGTACTTACTCTGTTGTTTACTGTTGCAAGCACCAATTCGTCTCCAGAGCTGCAGCAGTTCCCACAGCTGAACAAGAAGAAGAGCGCGATGGCGGCAGCACTGACGTCGCGGTTGAAAGGAGACCCGGCGTTTCTGTTCAGTGACTTTGGAGAGCCGCAAAACCAGGAAGAGGGTGAAGCCCCGTTTTGCGAGCTGGACCGGCTTGCTTACATAGTGGAGGAGATCGATCACGCCACCTCGGTAGTACCGCTAGGAGCCTACGTCGTCTCCCCATTGCACCAGGTCATCGCCAACCCTTCCTTCCATGGACTTACATGGGATCAGTCTCTTCAGCTCTACAACTTCTTTCACTTCCGTCATCCAGATCTGCCTGAACGCGCGCAGATCATCGAGAATGCCGAGGGACTAGTACGTGCTGGAGACTTCTTCGACCCGCTTATCCAGGATCTGGACGGCGCGTGGGTCATCTCCAAGGATAACACTGGCGCCTACATGACACTACGCAACTATGAGTACCCTGGAGCATTCTGCTTCCATCGACCCCAGACAGCTCATTATGGCAGCGTATACTTCGGAGATGGCCGAAAGAACCTGGACATTGCGTTCATGATCTAAGCAGCCAGTACTACCTCCCGGTAAACAAACCAGTCAAACCATGACGTTATCAGCTATCTAACCGTTGTCCTGGGGCTTCCTTACTATGGCAGCCAGCTAGACTCATGTTAAACCCGAGCCCAGGCACGATATTCCACTCGAACGATAGCACTAAAAAGAATCACACGCAATACTCATGCAAAAACGTAGTCGTCAATCACAGCATCGCCCTCAATTCCCGCCTTGGACGCCTTCCAAGTCTGAGCCAGCTTACGTGTGAAGGCGATCGAGGAAGTAGGTCAGATCGCGCACATTCGATGATGACTTCACCTTGCTCGTCCGGTAGATCGAGTTAAGCGAGTCATCGATCAATTGCTGGTCCAACAGTTTTTGGCAAGCACTGAAAGCTGCAGACGCTCTGGCACTCGCCTTTGAAGGCATGGGGTCGCTGCGGAACGTTTCCAACTCCAGCTCCATGGGCAGGTTCAGCTCTGCAGTGAACAGGCTCTTTCCACCGTAGCGAGCCTCAGTGATAGTGTACAATCGCTTCACATCCACCGTGAACAACCGGGTCGGTAGGGACTGGCAGAACTGGTTAATGCAGGCGATACTGCTGTCCAAATCCAGCACAGCACCCGTCGATGCAATCTCAATCGTGTGGTCGCCAGCCCCCATCATCTCTGCAGCAACAGAGCGTGGCTGCTGCTGGATAGTCTCAACTTTCTCTCGCGAGAACTCGAGCTGGTCAATGACTTCCGCTTCACGCGTCAGCTGTTTGTAGAACACCTCGTGGCCCAGATCTCCTTCTTCAGCCAAGTAGTACACTACGCCATCCTCGTGACGCGCACGTCCCTTTAACTGCACCAGCTTGCGCGCAGTTCCAACGCGGTCCATCACAATAATCAGACCGCACTGAGGGAAGTCAACGCCCTCCACAGATACAGCGGTGGAAACCAAGACGCGAATCGATCCTGCCTCAAACTTCGTCAGCGTCGTCTCCATCTTGGGCAGTTGAAAGGATGCCATATCACTACGTGATGCTCTCCCCAAGATGCTAGCAAACGGTTCGTCCGCCTGTTCCTCTTCCGGAGTCTGATCGCTAGTTTCCGCCGACAACTCCTCCCCATCAGATTCCTCAGCATCTTGAGTTGCGAACTTTTCGTTAAAAAAGTCCGATAGCACACGACATTCCGTTCGTGTGTCCACAAAGACAATTCCTTGCAGACCCAGACGCGCTTTGTTGGTTGCGGGTTGTTCCCCCTCACCTACTGTAGCAACAGATTCACTTGACACTGGGTCGTTAGTAGGTTCATCGTCGCTGTCTGACACGTCAGAGTTATCCAGCTCAGCTCCAGCAACTTCTTCGACTTTGCCGTCCTCATCAAACAACTGCGCGCGTAAAATCTCTTCCACTTTCTTCACTTTCGCAGTACACGCAAACGCGCACTCTTTACGCTTACCAGCCAGCAGCAGCATAGCAATGACTGCATCTCTGTCCAGCCCAAACATACTGCCCGGCACTGTGATCAACAGTGACGCTGCAATTGCCCGACGATGGATCTCCAGTTCCACGAAGCGGTAGTAGCACCACGGGCCCAGATTCTTGTACACAGTGATACAGTTCTGCATGAACTTCTTGACGGCCTTCTCCAACTTGTCTGGGTCCGTTGCTGCGTCACTTTTCCCCTTCTTCATGAGTTTCTTAAATACTTCCACGGCCTTGGCCTCTGCCAGCTCCTTCTCGATGTTCTCATAGATCCACGCTCCGTTTGTTGGGTCAGCTTCTACCTCCTCCCCTTTGACAGCCCACGGCTTCTGCACCGGATACGTCTCGTAGATCATCGGCGCAGCAGCTGCGAACTCAGCGATCTGACCCTTATCCAGCGTCACTTTCTTCATCTCGGCGTGGAGCTTCTCGGCGCAATGACGCGTGGGACAGGCCGTGGTGCCGAAGATGCGGGGCAACGTGGCTGAATTCTCCTGGTTGAACATCTTGATGACCTGCGCGTACGGGTGGCGCTTGGTCACGTGGTGGCACTCGTCGAACACTAGCAGATTCATGCGATTAAGTGACACGTAACCTTTGAGCAACACGTTACGCACGATCTCCGGTGTGCACACGAACACACGAGTGAGCTGCAGCTCGCGCTCCCATTGCGTGGCATCCCACAAGTCAGCGGTCCGGCCACAGTACGAATTGACGCGCAGTGTGCTGGTCTGGCGGATCTTGGCCGTGATCTGTATCACCAGTTGGCGGGTGGGGGCCATGAAGAAGGCGCGTTTGTCGCCCGAATAGTCCTGCTCGGACAGCAGTGCGATGGCCAGGAACGTCTTGCCGATACCCGTGTCGCCCACCATCACCACGTTCTTCTCGCGCGCCAGCTCCAGCACCTCGCGCTGGAACGCGCGCAGCTTCACCTGCTCCATGATTTCTTGATCGGCAATCTGAACGAGGTCTGATCTGGAGCAACAAAAGGGGAAACGAATCATGATTGGTTGAAAATAAGACTTTCACAAAAGTTACGTCTTCCACTTCAAGTTACGTCCTCCACTTCAGGTTGAAGCGGAGTGTAGCCATCTCACTTCTTGCCTTTCTTCTTGGGCTTGCCGGACGGACGCTTGCCTCCACCTTTTTTGCCGCCTGCATTAGGGCCATGTAGACCCGGCGCTGAGATCTTAACGGGGCCAACCATACAGTTCACCAGTTCGTTGTCCGGGATGCAACGCATGAGCTCGCGCTGCACGACGATCGGGTTTACGTCGGGCTGGACCTCGTCGTCCGCTTCACCATTCCTGTGTGGACCACTCGTCTTGCTTGCATCCTTCTCGTCCTTGAGATTGGAAGCGAAGAAGTGCTCCATCGCCTGCTTGGCTGCCTTGCCCTTCTTCTGGCTGCCCGGCGTCAGCTTCACCTTGTACTTGAACTTGGTCAGTGATGCGTACGGAGCGCACATGGGCATCGCGAATAGCACAATGTCGTTCGGCAGTGGCTCGCCCGTGAACGCGTCGAAGAAGTCGGCACCTTCAGCTTCATCCTCCTGCTCATCGAGGTATTTTTCCTTCTTCTCGCGCTGCTGTCGAATGTATTCCTCACTCACTTCGGTCGTAGTGTTGCCATCAGTGGTGTTATCTCCATCCTCGTCTCCAGAGTGCTCAGTGGAGTCGTTCTCCTTCGTCGGCTCGTCATCCTCCTGTTCGTCTTCAACTACATGACCCAGCGCTTCCATGCGTAGCCGACGGTCCTCCTCATCCTGGTCAGCGTATTTCTTCTTCATCTTCTTCATCTTGCCCTTCTTACCACGGACACTCTTCTTCTGCGGTGCCTGGGTAGGGGTCTTGTCTTTTCCCTTCCCGCGTTTTTGCTGCACAGGAGGTTGTTCATCTATGGACTCCTCGCGAGCTGGCGCCTTGCCCTTCTTCATATCACGACGCTCCTTTGCTGACAAGCGCTTCCTACCTTCACGCTGCGTCTGTTGTGCAGACACTTCATCTTCTTCTTCATGAGCATCACTCTCGTTCTCTTGCACCACAGTCACTTCCTTTGACGGCTTTGACATACTCTCATCAGGCACAGACTCCTCCTCTGTTGTTTGCTTTTCCGGCTGCACTTCTGCCACAGGAGACGCGCTTTCCTCACCCTCATCATCTTCCGGGCCTTCGTCAATTCGGGACACTCTTCCTTCACCTTGTCGTGCGTGGTTGCTGATACAGCTCTCGTCAATGCGGAAGAGAATCGCTAATCCCATCTCGAGTCGCGAAGGCTGGATGTAGTTCTTCTTGCCGCGAATCATAAAGCTACCCGTGGTAAGGTACTCACCAGCGGGGGCTGTTTTCGAGACCTGGTCTGCATGCACCCAGTAGGCACCAGCAATCACCTGGCTAGTCCAAGCGTTGCTACGACACACACTCATGCATCCTGCCTGCTCAAGCGTAGCCACCGGAATAGGAGGAAGTTCCTGCGTCTTCTTGTCCTTGACAGTTGCATGGTTGCGCACGATGCACGTCGCAGCACCATGAAGATCAGCGTGGACGTAGACGTCCCCCTTGCGCAGATATCTCTTCACCAGCAGCTCGTTCTGATGCGCGTCTTTACCTGCAACAACCAAGTACTTTTCATTGGAGAGGAACCAGTGGAACTTCTCGAACCAGTGCGTTTTACGTCGCTGGTAGATAACGTTGCGCTTGGTTTGTTGCTTCTCCAACGTCTTTTTAGTGTTCTTCTCCGCCAGCGCAATGGCCTTGTCAGTCGCCTCGGTGGCCTTCTTCACTTTCTCGCCAGCTTTCTTCTTCTTGGTGTAGATTTCTCGTGCATTAGCCAAAGCGGAAAGCGACAAGTCGATCCAGATAACGTGAGCCTTCTTGTCTTCTTCACCGGTACCATCACCGCCGTCCCCATCTTCGTCGTCATCGTCGTCATCGCAGAGTAAAATGGCTACACGGTTGTGTTCAAGATCGAGCTGGTGAATCAGGCTTGCAACGGGATTCCCGTTCTTCTGCTCATAGCGCACAAGTTCCTCCAGACCGCGCCAATCCATGCCGCTGGCCAGAGCACTACGGATGACGAGCAGGACGTTCTCCACATCCTGTTGGTTGGCTTCAATGAGCTGAGCATGCTGGAAACTCTGCTCCTGAACCTCACGCAGTTGAGCGAGCTGTTGTTGCTGATTCTTCTTGAGCTTCGCGAGTTTGTTCTCTGCTGCAATCTGCGCACTCTGCTTGGCCACCTCGGCAGTCTCCGCCTCAAAGCGCGAAAAGTACTCATCAACAGCCTCATCAAACGTATCGAAGCTCTTCACCTTCTTGTGCGCTTGCAGGTGTTGCGCATACAGGAATGGTGTAAACTCCTCGAACTGCTCCGGGGCATTTTCATCCGCGCTATCCTTCAGGATGATGAAGCCGCACTTCTGCGATGTGGTTGAAGAGGTTTTGGTTGTTGTAGGTGCAGCATCTTCCTCGTCACTGTCTCCGGCTTCAGCAGTGTCATCGTTTTGGACGGGGACTGGGCCATTGACCGAGGTCTGTTCGTCCCGCAGTCTCTCCAGCAGCTTCCAACCCTCCTGAATTGCCGCCAATAAGGCAGCCAGCTTGTCCTCTCCGAGTGCCGTGAACTCCGCAGCATTCTTGATCTTTAAGGTGGGCGAGATATCTGCACGTACCAGACAGTGCTCAATAATAACGGGGCCTAATCCACCGAACGTCGACTCCTTAACCAACAACAACTGCTTGATGGTCTGCGCTTTCTTCTTCTTTTGCGTCTTGCCCGGCACTGCGATCGCCGCCTTGGCTTCCTGCTCTTCGAACCATCTGTTCACAAATTCAGTGAGTTGTTCCGTGGTTTGGATACCGCGCTGTTTCTCCTGGTCGCCCAGCAGCTGGACGGGATACTCCTGCTTGACTGCCATCTTGACGTTCTCATCGAATCGATGCGTGCGCAGCAGTGACAAAATGCGGTAGTCCCCGTCCGTGAGGATGATGTTGCCAGAGGCGTAGAGCTCCAGGATGAGGTGGCACTTGAGTGCGCCCTGGCCGAACGTGAAGTCCACGACGCGATCCCCTTCCAGCTGCGTGAGTGCCGACAGCCTCTTGCCTCGCAGGTGCTTGCGCAACTTCATGGTGAACTGACTAGGCAACGCATTGCCAGCTTTGGCATCTCGCGCGTACTTGCTGGTGTGGAAGCGCACACCCGACTCGAGCAGTAGAAATACCTTGGGGAACGGGGGTTGGTGCAGCTTGAGGATATATGTCTTGGCTGCACCGCCGTCGCCCTGTCCCTGCACGTCGTAGATGTTGGTCACGCGCATGTTCACTACGTTGGCGCGGATACTGCCGACCATCGCGTGGATGTCGTCGATGGACATGCGCGTCTTCTTCATGGTGGCGCGGTGTCTTATTAGAGCAAGTTGGGTTGATCACTTTTGTTTCACCCACATAGCTCATCTGCACCAATGTGTGGTCCACATGGTACAGACGATCCCCTCGGTAGTAATCCCTAGAAATGGAATACTCCCTCAATAGCAATAAATTAGCTGTTAAGCAGTCACATACAAACCCAAGATATTATTCACTCTCACCCCTCAATCGTAAAATGAAATACATTTGAAAAGACAAATATTCTTATGAGGGGGTTATTAGCTATAGGAAAAGTCATAACTGTACCAGGGCAATACTGCTGCCACGTGCGATCCGAATGTTGAATCGATGAAGCCTATCCTTTTGATCACTTTGGACGTGACTCGAGCTTTAGGATCCCGGAAAAGTGCTCTGCCTTCAGTCTAATTGCCTCATCTATGACGTGACACCCTTCTTGTCGAGTTTATGATGGCGCACCGGGTGCCGCAATTTTGTGGCCAACTGCGAGACCGGAGGTGACTCCTGCGCTTTTCTGCACATTAATAGCTACCATATCATTGCTTGTGGTGGAATCAGAGGACGATCGTAGATTCTACGAGCCCATGAATCTAGCTCTGTTTGGGACAAATTATTAATTATAGGAATGTGAGCATGGTGCTAATGTAGCATGTGCAGCAGTTGTTGAGTGTTGGTGAGTGTGAGGACGAACTGGAGAGAAGGGTATCTTGATGTGGCGAGGCAAATGTGGGGATAGGAGAGCAAAACAGGGTGAAACACCACATCAATCTTCTTCATTAGTAAGTTTTGTGCTCTGTTCCAAAGTAAATGTACTCGGGTCCAATAGTTTGGAACATTCATGGATAGGAATACCCTTAGATAGGAATAAATTGGCGGCTCTTAGCGCAATGACTACCGAGAGGATCGTCTGTAGTAAACGTTGCGAACGCAAATGATTGGATGATAAGAATTTTCATTTTCGGACATGTCAATTTGTCCACAGCAGTTTCTGTTACTGTATAGACAGCGCTAGCAAAAATCCACGTTTTGGAGGGTTACTTCTGTTGATAAAATTGGGTTGGTATTCAATTTTTTGCTTAAAACCCAACGTAACTCCTTCTGATTAATCGATAAAGTACATGTACTTCAAAAACTCTTTTATTTCGCCCTCAGCAGTTTTTGCATGTAAGGAAACAGTGTTAAGGTCTCTCAGTAGATGCTTTAATATTCCTGGCACCGCATTAGAAAAAGTTGCGTTCCATGTTTCTCTGATAGCAAGAAAACGACAAGAGATGCATTATTAACTTCTTTACTACCGCTTTCTATTACACAAGAGTTGGCAAGTTGTCTGATCTCTCACTTATTTAAGCGTTAATAGAGAGGTTTCAGAATTCACTCTATCTGCACCTTCACCCTCAGACAAAAACTCTCAGAATTGGAACAAAACAGCAGTAGCAGCTCAGGATGATCTCGTTCAATATTATACAGGTTTCTTAGATAATGTTATAATGTCGCTTGACCCTAGATAGGTTCGCACGAGCACTTATATGTTAATTTAAATTGATTATTAAGATCAAATTCTGTGGATTTCGGAAAATGAAGGGGTTCTGACAGAATTTGTGCACTCCGAAGGAAAGTGAGGGTATGGATTGCAAACCTCTTTAATACTGGGAATACCTTTAGGTATGGACAGCTTTCGAGGGATTAACTCCACAGTACTGCGTAACTCGCTCGATGTTATCTCGTTCAACATTCAGCCGACATCAAATGTAAGCTGAACGTTGAGCAAAGTAGCAAGTTTAAAACATATCCTGGCATCGGATTGTCCGTATCTGATAGTTAAGGGCAATCGGTCTTTGGTCGCGAACTGCGCAGGATTGCTAACCACGCATGTCTCTTTGTGTGCGTGTAGAAGTCTAACCTGCTTGGGCTCGCGAGGTCTTAGCATTTTGCCGTGCATCCGGCGGAGGCATTTCGTGGGCCAAGAGAGAAGAGTGACAACTCTGTCACTTTTAAAGGTTAGTTCATCATAAGTAACGTCACAGAATTAAAATAGTATAAACTAACTCGAAAGGAAGCCTAAACGCATATTATCAAATCTTCAAGACGAAGTATCTAGGGATAAGCTGGCAGAGAATTTTTTTGTGGAATTTGTTCATCATTGCATTTTTTCTGTCCGTTTGACGCAGTTGTATCCATGCAGATTCTATCGCAGCAAAGTCTCAACCTTGATTCCAGGGATCAACCCGGGTGGTAATAGAACGAATCAGCATTATAAGCCCGTTTGATTGGGTATAAACTGATATTTTCCAGATACTTTTTAAATACATACATAAAATCTTCGCTGTTGTACGTTTTAGCATGCTCACGTAGGTTGTTCACGGGCCGAATCGGCCCAAATGAAGTGGCGAACAGATTAAATCGCGTAGCTTTAGAGATGTTGCTTTCTAGATAAAAAAATGTTTGTAATCTCATCTTACCTCTTCCAAAGATTTTGCTAGTGTGGTGATCCGGTAGCCAGTGTACGTGGACCATGCTTTGAGATGGCATTGTATTGATCTTTGAGTGCCAATGCTTGCTTCGCAGGCTTCAACGGCACGCGGTGTATGTCAAAACTCGCTGGACTGTCAGGAGTGTGCCTTATTGAAGTCGTTTTTTCTCTTTTATATAGTTTGTATCCCATAGTACCAGAACATGTTGTTGGCCATCGGTCCGGTGCAGCCTGTAGAATAAGGATTGTACGCGTACTAACAGATAATGTTGTACTAAGTACGCACGTGACTGAATCTCTGATATCTATTTTGAGTATCTATCGTTACGTAAAAAAGAAGTGAATTCCCAGCTAAGTCGAAGACGATCTAGTAACAGTCCGTGAAAACCCTCACGTTGAGTGGCTGGATACTTATCCCCGCCAAAACTCCAATATTCCAAGAAACCAAAACCCACGTCTGCCAACTCTGGCTACAGACTGCCAGATTGACGAGCCCTGTAGTATGCACACCCTATCAATTTTATTTGCATCGGATACGTCTGGTCGCATACAGATCATCAACTCTGAAGGCAAAGCAACAACAAACATCACCTCTTCGAAATCCTCTAGAATCTACAGGTAATGCAATGCACAGTTTGATGTTACGAACCGTGTGCGTTCAAGCACGCAAATGCATGTACCAACAGCCAGCACCACGAAGGGAAGTTTAGGAGTATACAGGCTGCATACATATACATCGAACAATTATGCAGGTTGCATAGAGTAAATCCAGTAGTACGGGTGGAGACCAGGCGCAGATGCATTATGTATCTTTCATGACGATATCATACTTCTGTTTTATATTCCATAGCTATACGATGGCGAGCGCAGACTGTGACGGTGTAATTGATCGCACGATCTACTGGTGCCGAGCGGGGAATAACATTACACAACGCGGGGAATAACATTTCACAACGCGGGGACTTGCTGGCATCGCACCATGGCGTCGTTGGAATTCGGCAAATTCTGCGTGTTGGACCGAGACGGGCCAGACACGGTATTAAAAAAATTGTGTACAGGACACAATCGGACAGCATTGGATTAGATCACAGTCAATTTGACTGCATCGAAGATGACACACACCTTCAACGCACACTTGCGCAGGAACGGCGGGAGCGAGACCAAATACCAGCACGAGTTTTCTACAGGAAGCGATGAAATCCATCCACGTTGAAGTGATTCCTGCATGGTTTGAGGTGCACAACTAGCGCAAACCGACTCCAAATTACAGTTTAGACGTACAGTACACTAACGGTCGATCTACAGTACGCAACGACTGGCCACCAACGCTTCTCGTCGGTCGTACATGCAACCACTTAAAACCAAACCCCCAATGCTGCTGGCAGCAGTGCTGCGTGTTGGCCAGCGATTCCTTTTTTATGGCATAAATGCGGGGCCCGTGGCGACCATGCAGGCAGAATTTCTCTGCACGAAGCCGTGTTCGTCGGTGCCGCACCAGCGTTGAGCGCCAACCATCCGTGAACGCAAAATTTGACAACGAGGCCTCGCTCAATCTTTTGAGCAGACTGCTCTGTGCTTGCGCACTCTCTCTGCATTTTCACGTGTCCCGATTGCACCCCATCAGATCATACACGACTCTCCCTCCACCTTCAAATTGTTGTGACGCGGACCGCCGCACAAATCCAGTTCGGGGTTCTAGAAATTGGATGCGCGCCACAGTGACTTCCATCCGCCGACACCAAGCTAGTGATTGTCGTTAGCTTCTTTGCGCTGCCACTCTAACCAGTGCGGTGACGCTTAAAGATCGCAATTTGGAAGCCTAGACAATGTGCTGACCTTACTCGTCAGTCTCCTGCAAGAGTCGGCTGCAACTCATTCATGGCATGAATGAATCATGTGTCTCCGACAGGTGGATCCCAGATGATCCGGCTTGATGCCAGCAGGAAAAGAACCCACGATTGCAGCCGCAACAGAGACACATCTTGCCTACATTTCCGCACTTTAGCGATTTTTGGCGTGTTTTGGTTGGGTGAACCGTGTCGGGGACACATCAGCTCATCGTGAAGCTCACACATCGGCAAACACGGCTTTATCCAGCCGCGGAGGTTTTGGGTTTTGTGTCCGCGGCTGGACCTCCAATTGATCCCACGCGGACGGTCTCCTCTCCCTGTATCGCATGCCTTGCTGCTTTGTGTCCCAGGTGCATGATACATTCATTTCAGAATCCTCCTTCAAGTAGTCAAGTGGCCTGGCAAATAGTCAACACCAGTCTAAAACCATGCCAGCTCTTTCGCCACGCAACTCGCACTATTCGATGCAGATGACACCTCGTCAGCCAGAGGTTCTACTGCACGACGGTCACGAACTCGCGACGTGGGAGAAATGCGTCGAGATCGGACGCGTAGTGACCTACTTCCTTGGCTCCGTTCTCTTCCTGATCGGCTCCATCTACTTCTACCCGGAGTACTCCGTCCTGTGGGACGGCGATGCCGGTGTCTTCGCCAGTTGGTGTTTTGTCGTGGGCTGCATCATGTTTTTCTCGGGAGCCAACCTCGACTTCATTCAGACTATCCGCTACAACCACGGCACACAGTTGCGTCAAGTCGTTCGCGCGTTCAACGCACTGACCAACTACATGGCATCCTCCATCTTCATCCTTGGAGCGCTCTACTTCCTGCCCACCTGGTACCCGAAGGCGCCTGAGCTCGGATGCTGGTCATTCTTCGTCGGCTGCATCCTCTTCTGCGCCGCCGCCGTCGTCGACCTCATTTTCATCTGCGTGACTCACGAGGACCCGCGCGTCACCGGCTTCAAGGTCAAGAACATCGTCTGCTGGGGCACCATCGCAGCTCTCGGCACGTTCATCGGTGCGCTGTTCTTCATTCTTGGCAGTTGGTACTACCTACCCCGGTACATCAACCGTGTTGACGATGGGACGCACTACATGAATAAAGCCATCACGTTCTACGTCATCGGTAGCGTGTTCTTCATTATCAACAGTTTGGCGATTATTCCCGAGGTCTCACGTGCGATCAAGGCTACCGCACGGAAAAACGACATGGGTAACAAGGTCTAAATTATCGAAATAAATTGTGCAAAACGCGGCACGAAGGAGTGTCCGCGAAGTGATCTGTGTTCACAACCTGTCCCTGTCTTCATGATGCGTTTGAATCTGTGTATTTGAACTCGTGACGATTGCTTGCTCCCGACACGATTTAACTTTAAAATGGCGTGTTCGTGATAGTCGCGCATGGCCTTGAGACCATCCATTCTATTTTTAGTTCTTGTACCGTAGGTGTCATGTTGGTGTGACCAAGGAACTTCAGGAATAAATATTGCGAACGGTTCAGGATTGAGTTCACGCCCGCGGTATGTAGCGCACACTTTCACACTGCATTGCAGGACCGATACTTTTGATGTGTTTGCAATACAGTAACTGTGGCGATATTTCTCAGCTAGCTGATGCTATCGGGGCCATAACCCGTTTTAATTTGTGTCTGATGTAAACAAAGACCTCAGCCTCAAGATGCTAAAGTAGTCGAGCCTACACGTTATTGCATCCTTTAACCATCCCGGAGCGTCGTAGTTCTGCAATGCATCACCAGCAAAAAACTGCTTTTATTAAAAAAAAGCAATTTAAAAAAGCATCGTAGTGAGTAAGCTTATGTGCAACATAAATTACAAGCAACTTAATTTTATATTGAGTTGCGTTTCTTGTTCTTGCGTTGCACTATCTCAACGCGGCCCCGCAACCAACAGACCCACGAACCAGTTGACCTTTGCAGTCAATCTCGGACCGAGCAGCACGATGACCGAACGCAAGCGCAAGGTGGACATCGGCGACCTGGACGGCAAGAAGAAGAAGCGCAAGAGCAGATTCTCGGACACTCCGCCTGCCGCTTCCTCTTCCGATGCCGGCGTGAATCCGTTGACGGGTGCTCCTTTCTCAGCGCGATACCAGACGCTGCTGTCCCAGCGTCAGAAGCTGCCGGTTCACCAGTTCCTCGAACAGATTCAGGATGCTGTTAAAGCTCACCAGGTTATTGTCGTGGAGGGCGAGACAGGTAGTGGCAAGACCACGCAGATCCCGCAGTTCCTCACGCTTCTTAACGCCAACAGCGACAAGATGGTGGCTTGCACGCAGCCGCGTCGAGTGGCCGCTATGAGCATCGCCAAGCGTGTGGCCGAGGAGATGGACGTGCAGCTCGGACAGGAAGTAGGTTACACCATCCGATTCGAGGATGTCACGAGCCAGCGCACCAAATTACGGTTCCTCACGGACGGTATGTTGCTGCAACACGCCATGAGCGATCCGCTGCTGTCCAACTACTCGACCATCTTGCTGGATGAGGCCCACGAACGCACACTGAGTACCGATATCCTGTTCGGTTTGCTCAAGGAGGTGCTTCCGAAGCGCCCAGACCTCAAGGTCGTCGTCATGAGTGCTACACTCGATGCTGTCAAGTTCCAGAAGTACTTCGAGGGCGCGCCACTCATCGCAATCCCTGGACGTACATTCCCTGTGGAGATTTTCTACACACCCGAGCCAGAGCGCGACTACCTGGAGGCTGCTGTGCGTACTGCCGTGCAGATCCACATCTGCGAGGAAGAAGGAGACGTGCTGCTCTTCCTTACTGGTCAGGAGGAGATTGAAAATGCGTGTCGTCAAATCCGTGCTGAAGCTGACGCTTTGGACTCGTCCAAGTACGGCCCACTTGATGTGTACCCACTGTACTCGTCGCTTACTCCGCAACAGCAGCAGCTTATTTTCAAGGACGCCCCGAAGCCGCGCTTCCAGGGAGGCCCAAAGGGCCGCAAGATTGTCGTGTCTACCAATGTGGCAGAAACCTCGCTGACTATCGACGGTATTGTGTATGTTATTGACCCGGGTTTCTCCAAGCAGAAGGTCTACAACCCGCGTATTCGTGTGGAGTCGCTGTTGGTGTCGCCTATTTCACGAGCTTCAGCTAAGCAGCGTTCTGGCCGTGCTGGTCGTACACGACCGGGTAAATGCTTCCGTCTCTACACTGAGCAGTCGTTCATGCGCGACCTGGAAGAGCAGACATATCCGGAGATTTTGTGCTCTGAGATGAGTGGCGTCGTCCTCACCCTGAAGCAGTTAGGCATTGACGACCTGGTGCACTTTGACTTCATGGATCCACCTGCTCCTGAGACCCTGATGCGTGCTTTGGAGATGCTGAACTACCTCGGTGCTTTAGACGACGAGGGCGAGCTCACGCATCTCGGTCGTCAGATGGCTATGTTACCGGTACTCCCGCAATTAGCCAAGATGCTCATCTCGTCCGCGAAGTATCAGGTGCCGCAGGAAGTGGCTACTATTGTGGCAATGCTGTCCGTGCAGGAGCCGTTTGTTCGTCCTAAGAACGACGCCAAGGCTGCTAACGAGGCCAAGGCGAACTTCGCTCACGTGGATGGCGACCACCTCACGCTGCTGAACGTGTTCCACGCGTACAAGCTGAACAACGGAGACGTCAACTGGTGCTTCCAGAACTACCTGAACAACCGGTCGTTGCAGAGCGCGTCAAACGTGCGTGACCAGCTGATCCGCAACATGAAGCGACTAGAGATGCCGACACAGTCGACGCTGGACATCCACTCGCCTCAGTATTATCCCAACATCATCAAGGCGCTGGTATCCGGATTCTTCATGCAGGTGGCGCACAAGGCCGTTGGAGGACACTACGTGACGGTGAAGGACAACCAGGTCGTGCACCTGCACCCTTCGTGCGTGCTGGACAACAAACCGGACTGGGTTGTCTACAACGAGTTCGTGCTTACCAGCCGCAACTACATCCGTCTCAACACTCGCATTATGGGCGAGTGGCTCGTAGACATTGCTCCCCACTACTTCGACCTGGCAAACTTCCCTCCTGGTGAGGCCAAGCGTGAGCTCGAGACCCTGTACCGCCGCATGAATGCGCGCAACAACTCCAAGAAGCTTAGATAATTGCATTATACGATAGATGAACTGGTCTTCCCATTACCACCTGAAATTGTTTGGTTTCTATCACCCTTTATAGGGCCAAGTAAGCTGCTTTCTTTACCGAATCGGACGTGGCGTTCTAATCTTGTGTTTCTGCAGCTTTTTCGTGCCACGACCAAAGCCTCCACGCTTCCTTGATGGAGCTTTGCTCGCCTTCTTTCTGTTGTCACCCGACGCTGTTTGTTGGGATCCTAGTGAAGGCAAACTTGAAGAAGAGTCTACCCGTAGCTCCTTGATGGTACTGTTACTTCGCTTGGAGTTTTCGATGCTCATGGCGAGAGCGAGGTCGTGTTTGGTTACGAGGCTGGTCACAAGTCCCTGCTCGCCAGCTCTGCCGGTACGACCAGCACGGTGCACATAGTCAACGGCGGATTTCGGGAAGTCAAACATAACCACGTGCTTCACTGACTCCACGTCCAGACCACGAGCTGCCAGATCAGTGCACACCAAGATATTTACGTTGGGATCTTCAGTGAAAGCGTGGATAGCTTCGTGCCGTCTAGCCGGCGGCATGTCGCCGTGAAGACACGCAGAGTCCTGAAAGCCGTGTTCACGCAGCATGTGCTCTGTGGAGCGCACGCTTGCCGAGTTACGACAGAAAATTATGGTCTTTGCCGCGCGGCGCCTGTGCAGATGCAATGCTTCACGCAACGCCGAGTGCTTGGACTCGGGATTAACCCGTACAAACTCTTCTCTGATGGAAGACGGCGTCTTGTGGATCTTGTCATCGCTCACAACGCGAAGCTCACCGAACTTTTTCTTGAGAATCTGGTCAATAGGAGAGCGGATTGTGGCCGCCGCTAAGATCATCTGCAGTGGCTGGTTACGCTTGGCCGCACTGGCCTGAATCGGTCCCAGCACCGCATCGAGCTCCTTTCGGAAGCCCATCTTGGCGTCAAATAGCGTGTCCGCTTCATCTACAACCACTGTATCAATACGGGAGACGAAGAAGTCCCCCTTGCTGATGCATTTGGCCACACGGCCAGGTGTGCCGATGATCAGGTCGAGTCGGCGTGAAGTATTCCTCTGTTGGATGCTCTTGCGTTCTCCGCTCGTGATGGTGCAGGACGCGAACTTAGCTGAGTGCGATAGCTGTTTAGCCACAGAGGCTACCTGCAATGCCAGCTCGCGACTGGGTAGCAGGACCAGCGCACTGGGACGGCCAAGTACGACCTCGTAGGGTCCTTTGGCATCATGTTCCTTCTTCTTGGCCACCTCCTTGCGTAGAATCTGCTCCACAACGGGGACTAAATAGGCAAGTGTCTTGCCAGTGCCCGTCTGAGCCGCGCACAGCACGTCATGGCGTCCAAGGATGGCTGGGATGCTCTTTTGCTGGATACCTGTAGGCGTCGTGATGTTCATCTCCTTCAGGCCCGCCACGACACGGACATCCACGCCTAAGTCCTGGAAGCTTTGCACTGCGAAGAAGCGGCGCGCCGTGGCTGAGGTCAGCAGCGCCGGTGGACGCATGGCCAGGCGGCCGCGCTGGAAGAGCGACGCCGACGCGAGGCGCATCGCAATTTTGAGATGGAGCTTGTGGTGGTGGAGCCGGCCCAGGCTCCTGGGCGACCCGCGGGTTCAATACAAATTTTAAGTAATTGGCCAGCGTATCATAATGCACAAAAAGTTGAAGTTGCCATGACTCACTCGTCTTACATGTATCGTAGGAACTTGACTTCATCACTAGATATCGTGACGTTGCAGCAAGGAGTGCAGCGTTACATCGGTGTCACGTTGCCCCCCGACACTGCTTGGTGGCCAGCTTGAAGTGAATAATTGCCGTGACGACAGCTCCAAGCGACGATCTTCTGTGGCTTTCGATGGACGTTGCGAGCTACAAGCACTCGACTAAATCTCGAGCGGACGCTGTGATGCAGTTCATCGACAGTGGTGCTTGTTTTGTGCCATGATATCGCACTGGATTCCACAAAGCTCAGTGCCAGAATACTGCCACGAGCTCTGACAAGTGCTTGCGATCAAGTGGTGAAATTAGCGTGACCAATCTGATCACTTTCTGTAAGCACTCTACATTTAGCGCAGTGCTGGAAGACACGCCCACATAAATTCTGCTGGTGCATTGTCTACATCTTGTCTCGCTACTCGCACTTGCAGCCAAGAGCGAGTATTCTACTAATGCTGCACATTGAAACAACCAAGGCGCTGTTGATGAACTCGTTCGCCAACACTGGCAACATCCCATCATCGAGTTGCCAAGCTAGGGAGAGGGCGAATTGCAGGCTACGCTGCTTGGACAGGCTCGCTGCAGTTCACAATGCGACGGCACTGTACGTCAGACACAACAATTCGTCGCCGCCAACAACACGCTGTCGCTGCCGCTCGGAAGCGAAGCGGTCGCAACACCGCTAACCTCACTACCAGCAAGTTCGCTGCACGGTCAACGCTAGCACCTAAGATGCTTTTACATGGATATAAACTTACCGATGACATCGCTGATGGCTATAATATCGCCAAACAGCCAAGATCGCTTGTGAGGGTCAAGTAGCCGGATGCATTCAGACTTTGAATTGCCTTGTTGTGGTCCACCTCCACAAACGGGTGGGTTTGTTTGCTTTACAAATTTCAAGTCAACATGTTCTGACCCGTGAAACCCGGCCTCTCCCTCGGCTCGTCTCTCCTCTTTATCGCCTCGATACAATCGACAAGCTTCGACCGCGCAACCAGCTCCTCTGCGTAGCTCGTTGTGCTCTCCCCCCGCTTCCTCTGTCCCCTAGCCGAGCATTTCCCCTCTCTACTCGACACCGTCGAGTCCCTAACAGGTCGCAGCAGCGATGTACTCGTCCTACTGGAAGCCCAACGATGGGCGCGAGTCCAACGTGCTGACAGACCACGAAGCTCTACACCGTGATGAGGCTACGCACAAGGCCATGCAGTCCGACGAGACGGAGCTGCGTCCTCTGGATCTGGAGACCATCATGAGCTCCAAGGCCGCCGTCAAGTTCTGGTATCTCCACCGTCCCAAGACCATGGCGTATGTGCACAAGAACGCCACCAAGATCCAGAGTCTGGGCCGCGCATTCGCCGTGCGTAAGCTGCGCGAGAAGCACGGCGCCGAATACATGGCCGAACTGGCCAGGCAGGATCAGGCTCGTCGTGACGCCGACGCGCTCAAGGACCTCTCGGACGAGGAGCGCGCGGCCAAGATGCTGGACGACGCCGCGTACGATGCACGTGTTGAGGAATCCCGTCGCAAGCGCCGCGAGCAGATCGAGGCTGAGCGTCGCGCTGAGGAGGAGCTTCGCATGAAGCTAGCGGCTGAGGCTTCAGAGCGCCGGCGCATTGAGGAGGAGCGCAAGACAGCGGCACTTGCAGCCAAGGAGGAGGCTGAGCGTCTCGCTGAAGAGGAACGTATTCGCAAGGAGAAGGAGGCCGAGGAGGAGCGTCGTCGTCAGGCGGAAGAGGCTGCGCGTCTCGAGGAGCTCCGACTCATTGAGGAGGAGGAGCGTCGTGTGGCTGAAGAGGCCGAGGCCGCGCGTAAGGCGGAAGAGGAGCGTCTTGCCGCGGAGGAGGCCGCTCGACTGGCTGAGCTGGAGGCGATCCGTGCTGAGGAGGAGCGTCTTGCTGCTGAGGAAGCAGAACGTCTTGAGGCCGAGGAGGCAACGCGTCGTGAGGAAGAAGAGCGTCTCGCTGAGGAGCAGAGACTCCGTGAAGAGGAGGAGGAGCGTCTGCGTCTCGAAGAAGAGGAGCGACTTGCTGAAGAGGAGCGTATTCGTAAAGAAGAGGAGGAAGTTGCTTTCTTGGCTGCTCAGGCTCGCGAGGAAGAGGAGCGTATCGCTCGTGAGGAAGAGGAGGCGCGTATTCGTGAGGAAGAAGAGCGTCGTGCGCGCGAAGAGGCTGAGGAGCGTGAACGCAAGCTGGCGGAGGCAGCGCTCGCTGCTAAGCGCGCGGAGGAGGAGGCCGAGCGCATTCGTCTGGAGCGAATCCAGCAGGAGAAGAACGAGAAGTACGAGCAGTCTCTGTCCAAGGACGTGCCCGTGCTCGTTCGTCAACGTGGCCCTGGCCGTGTCGTCAGCTACGACAAGCAGCGTGAGACTTACGCCGTCAAGCTCGAGAACTCCATGGGCGGCATGCAGATCACTGTTCCTAGTGACGACGTCAACCTGGATGACGACCGTATCCTGTCCCCACGCACCAAGGTGGACACGCCGTTCGGCACGGGTGAAGTCGTGGGTCTTGACCCGCACGTCGGATGCTACGCTATCAACACGGAGGTGAACGCACCAGACGACGACCAGTTCTTGGCGTTCGTTCAGATCAACGACGTTACTGTACACGTGGAGGAAGAGGAGGAGCGCGCTATTGTGGAGGACGCTTCGTTGCCAAGTACGTGGCCTGATTACACATTTTCCTTGAAGATGGTGAAGGTTTTTACTAAGATTTTACTCGTATTTGTTACAGTTCCCGACGAAATTGGTCTGGTATCAGCTCGCATCGTTGACAGCCGTATCGTGAACCGTACGGGCAAGAAATTCATCCAGTACAAGCTGGAGATCCGCACTACCAACTACGGCACGGTGTACTGCTGGAAGCGTTACAGCACCTTCCGGTACGTGAACGTCACTTGGTTACTTGGATGTACAAAAGGTTTACTGATAGGGCTGCTTGTGCTGTTCTGTGTGTAGTTCGCTGTGTGACCGCCTCATGAAGGAGAACGGTATGAAGCGCCGTGACATTCCGGAGCTGCCGCACCGCCACGTTGTGGGCAACTTCTCGCAGAAGACGATCGGCGAGCGTGCCGAGAAGCTGAACCTGTTCCTGAACGCCGCCGTGAAGGCCGAGCACTTGCAGTGGGGTATCCGTGTGGACGACCAAATCGCCGTCTACAAACGCCGTAACAAGCGTGTGACGCAGCCCAGCAGCCAGCCTGGCAGCCGCGGCAGCCGTAACATCTTCTCGCGACGACGGTAATTGTAGGTAAATTTTTCCCCGTCGCAGTACAGCCGCGGGAACTGTTTTTAGTCCAGTCAAGCTTCTTGCATGCTGAAGTGCAGAAGTGAACCAGCGCGCTTTCAGTAGGAGAAAGCAGCAGAGCAGTCGAGTTGGCTTCACATGTGACCTACGCTCGATCGAAGAGCAGAGGTGGAGTCGGCTACTCATTGGAAAATTGGATTTTTATCTTTTTGACATGTGACTACAATTGTCTGTTCATCATTGATGTAGCTTAGCAGCAATATTTGGTTTGATTACTGCGATATCACAACTTTTTCTTTTTTTTATTTATTTTTTTATTTCTTAGATTGGGAAGCACTTCTCGCAATTTCACGCAGTGGCAGATTTTATACATGGTCTACTACATGCAGATCAGGCAACGCGGATGGGGGCAGCGGCTTCGTTCGATTGGTGGAGTTCGCTTTGGAGTTGGCGCCACTTGTCCAGTTGCTGCTTGCGATACTGCTTCACTTCAGTGCTCTTGTATTCGTATCGCTGGAACGGGTTGTGGCAGTCACCGGCGCAGCCTTCGCACACGTCCGAGTGGCACGGAACGCCGTTGCGCGCACACTCGCAGTCCGAGTCGGCGCTGGCGCAGTTCTTTTTCTCACGCGCGAACTTCTTGGCTGCTGCCATCAGCTCCGTCTTGCCCGTACCGGGAAGCGGCACATTGTGCTCCTGCAGAAACGCACGCAGCTTCTTGACATTCATCTTGGCCACTTTCTTGACCAAATCTCCGCACGAACAGCCACACGCGCCGTCGCGTGAGTCGCGGATCTTAGCGAATTCATCGAGCTGCTCAATAGACACACAGCCGAAATCTGGCGTCGTTAACGCTGCGTCTGCAACCTGCAGTTCTTCAGCTGCCTCGATGCTTGAAGTGGAACCAGTGGAGTATTTACGCCACGATTTCCTCAGCTCTGGGGACGACGACATTTGAGACTCAATTGCTCCGTCCTCCTGGGCCTGTTTCTCCAGTGTAAAGACCTTTTTGCGCTCGTCTTCGCTCAATCTCGAGAACAGCGGGTTGTCCACGCCTCGACGGTAGTCGAATTGGCGGGTTTCACCCACACGGACGTCGCGGCGCTTGGACTTGGACAGTTTCTTGACTCGCTCCTGTAGTTCCTGCTCTCGCTGTTGCTCCACCTCCAGCACACTACCGAGCTCGACGTCTGCGAGCTTCTTGCCTAGACCCAGAGCCCATGTACCGTCGTAGGGCACGGCGCTGCCACCGCCAGGGAAGCGTGCGAACTCCCGGGCCTGGACGTCGCCCCACATGATGTGCTTTTTGGCACCAAGGGAAGCCGAGCGGTTCTTACGTTGCTGTAGTGGAGCATTCGTAGAGGGCACATGCATGCTGTTACTACGTGCTTTGCGCTTCTTCTTGTGCTTTTTGCTCTTCTTTTGGGGCTTGGGGGCTGCTGCTGCGGCCTCGGCAGGGATCTCCACGATCTGCACGGGCTCCGTGACGAGGCGTACGCTCTTCGGCGGTGACGCGGCCACGGTCGCAGCAGCAGCGTTAGGTATACCAACGCAGTGTATACTATTGGAGTGTATATGTGTCGTCTCGGTAGGTTGCGCGGAAGACTGTAGACACGTGGGGCGGTGGCTTGGCCAGCTCTTGCGCTGGCAGGCGCGGTCGCAGAAGTAGACGCTACGGCAGCCACCGCAGCGGTTCTTGGCGTTGGCTTTGCCACAAGACAGGCAGATCTTGTCGAGGGTCGTGGAAGTGGTCATGGCGGTGCTGAGGTGTTGGTGCAGGTTAGAGATCCCTTTAGCGCGTGTGTTGTCTAGGTCAGATTGGGAAGTGACGCAATATAATGCTCTACCCGCCGCTTTATCAGTGACCCAAATAGAGGGCTGTGTTAAAGTTGCACGACTGTTTGTGTTGAACACGCCCATGCTTTGCCCAGCTGCGCTCGACTTGGCGCTGAATGCATGGTGATTTAGGAACGCTATTAGCGGCGCCAACGTGTCGCTACGATGTTTCCACAGCGTGGATGCCTCAGGAAATGTGCATGCCCTGCATTGTCAGCGAGAGCTACGCTTGCGAGAGCTATGCGTTAAGACTGGTGGCGGGTGTGTACATGTTCTGTAGCCACGTTCAATTCGACAGTTGATCAGCCGTCGCCGGCAAATCGCGTGCATTTGGAGCGTCCACGAGAATTTTTTCGGTTGCAAACTCGTTTCTGCTTTGGAGCTTCAACGTCGAATGTTCCCGAATGCAAAACAATAACGCTGGCGAAGCTGCGCATGAAACCAGAGGCAAACCCCGCTATTCCAGTCAACGTGTTTGTTGAGGTGGGCGGTTCAGCAAATACCACAGCGGTCGTCACGACGAGTTGAGCAACACGGCGATACACGTACAATGTCGACACGCATCGTGGTCTGAGGTCGAGAGTCTCGACTCGAAACCAAATATTGGATGTAAGTGCAGCCCCGTGGAGATTGACGCGTGTGACCAGGTTGCCAACAGCGATTCGTTGCTGCAACAAGCTCCAACAAGCACCTCAGATTTTTGTGTTTCGACACACAACAAAACCTTTAACTTGATCTCATTATTGGCACGATGCCAGCCATTTGGTGTCCAGTACATCACACGAGCCAACCAACAGATATCTTCTTGCCTACCGACATGGCGGACCCGAACGCGAAGCTCAACTCCCTGTTCGGCAAGAAGAAGAAGAAAAAATCCACGACCGTCAACGCCAACGTCATCGTCAAGACCAGCGCTCAGAATGCTGAGCGTGCTGCAGCCGAGCGCGCCGCTGCGGCCGCCCCCAAGCCCGCTCCTAAAGCCGCTGCTCCTGCTGCCACTGCGTCAGGCAAAGTGTTGTCGGACCTGTCCTTGAACAAGGAGGAGGAGCAGGAAAAGTCAGCTTTCCAGTGGGCTAAGCAGCCTAAGAAGTACAAGAATTCGAGCGAAAGGGAGGCGGTGGCCACCACGTGGGCCGAGCAGGAAGAACGCAACCGCGTGAACCGCCGCATCCAGTTGGACAACGAGCGCGCTTTCCCGTCGCTGGGTGTGGACGCTGCCAAGGCTCAGCTACAGGGTATGAAGGCACCCACTACCAAGGCCGTGGAGACTAAGAACGTCTGGGCCTCGTTGCACGACGATGAGGAAGAGGACTAAATGGTCCCTACAACACAGGTGCTACAGAGCTCATTCAGCCTACAGAGTCTGGATCCGGGCAGATGAGAGTGCCCAAAGGGGTTTACGAGGCAGTGGTAGGTGCTCTGCCTGGCCGCGACGTGCTGCTGCTCAGCTGGTCACGCAACCGACAGCACGGCATCAGGTGCAGAAGAATTGTAATAGAACGGAGCGTCGAGAGTCGAACCAGCAAACATCAACTAGCAAAATACGAATCGACCGGACGAGTTCCTGCCTTGATTTCAATAGGGATGTACTGAAGTAATTCATTTTCTTTCAGGGACATCCATAGTCTCAAATGTGCAGCCCAGGTACGAGCTGTACCCGTTCGGTTTGGCGTTGGGCACAGCACTACCATTGCTCCAGATAAGGTCAAAGCCACCGACGTGCAGCTCATCGCCCTCACGTCGTCGTTCCAGGTCCACAACATCGAGTGTATGCTGTATGAGGTTGGCTTTGAGCGCGTAGTCAGCGTCCGAGTCGCCAGTCAGCGACGGCGAGGCGTTGACTTCGATGAGCCACGGCTTCAATGCGCTATCAATTAGCACATCATACCCGTACAGTTCAAAGCAGTGTCGATCCTGAATTATCGTGGACTGCACAGCCAGCAGTGAGCGTGTGATGAGCGACTGGATCGCGAGGAACAAGCGGTCGACAGCTTCCTGACCAAACTTGCTAATGAGGAACATCTTGAGACTGTGAAGTGGCCACTTGGAGCCGAGACGTTCGTTGTAGTCGTCCGCGCTCTTTTGCACCGACGCATTTGTTAAGTGCATGAAGAGGTTGTCCATCTCACCTTTGCTCTGAGAGTAGCGAGTGTGGGAGAAGCGGGCGAACCCGGCGCGATAGATCCAGAACGTCAATGGCGAGAAGCTCGTCACCAACGCGTACAACCGTAAGTCGAACTTCTTACCGCCCAGCAACAGTCTGCTTTCAGATAAGTGCATTCAGCAAACTATGCCAGTGTGAAGCAAGCTGAAAATTTAACTACGTACGGTGACTCGACGTACTTCTGCACAATGTACGTGTCTGCTGTCTTGGCCTGCATCCCTCCGTCACCTTTCCAAGAGGCATCTCGTTTCCACTCGCTGATATCACTCAGTTTTTCAAACAAAAAGATACCACGACCTTGTGCCTTGCCTACAGGCTTCATGATCCATCTACCTCCTGGTGTACGCTTAAATTCCTCTAGAAACATGCCATATTCATGAGGCAGAACAAACGTCGCCGCCCAGAAGTCGTATAGCTCCGCTTCTCGTTGAGACTCCACGTTACCACTTCAACAAGTGTCAATGACATTGCTCATCGGTGACATATGGCTAAGATGTTGTGTTACCTGCGCTCGAGCTGCCTCTTAACGCGCTTGAGATTCTTAACCAGTAAATCCTTGCGTGTGAGCTCGTAGTGGTTCTGAAAGTGGTTGATACGCTGCAAAGGATGAAAAACCTGTGATAAGTTGCCATCATTCATCCCCCTGCATATATTTCTTTGCCTTGCACCTGGTGATCTTGAAGCGGAGTGAAGGCATCCAAGTTCTCCCGGATCCAACCCACGTCCGCCCAGTGTAGGTCCCAATCTAGATCGCTATCTGTCTCGATCCAGCCGCCTTGACGCTTCATCACATCCAGCACCGTATTGCGCAGCGATGTACGGAAGCGTACCATCCGTCTGGAATAAAACCACAACGTTATACTGCATCCAGCCAACACTAGCAATCTGATGCAATACAATGCTGAAAAGCTAGACCACCTGCGATCCCTACTGTCGGGCCTCGCCCCAGAATTCGGCCTCCGCTCCATTTTTCAAGATACCGGAACTCTGCAGCTTTTCAAGATTCATCGTGTCGAAATGACAGTATTTATGTGGTCCACATATCTAGCACATTTTGACCGCCGCGTGGAAGCAGCTACATAACCAGCTAGTCGAGATGGCGACAGAGCACAAGTATTCAGTGCTTCTCCCCACGTACAACGAGCGCGAGAACTTGCCATTGGTGGTTTGGCTACTGGACAAGACGTTCGTCGACAAGTGCGTGCTGTTGCTGTACTGTGGCTCGCTCTGCGTGCTGCACAATGCTCCATCCTAGACTAACTTGAACTGCTTTATTTAAACGCTGTAGTAAACTCAATTACGAGATCGTGATTGTGGAGGACAACAGTCCGGATGGCACGCTGCAGGTGGCGCGTGACCTGCAACAGATCTACGGCAAGGATAAAATTGTGATCCTGCCTCGCGAGGGCAAACTAGGACTAGGATCCGCCTACCGCGACGGCCTCAAGAAGGCGACAGGCGACTTTGTGTTCCTCATGGACGCTGATCTTTCGCACCACGTAAGTCGTGGTTTATTTTATCCAGTGTATTCAATGGAGAGACTGCTGACTGCTTTTCCTTGTGCGTATATCTGATGCAGCCCAAATTTATTCCTGAATTCATCAAGTACGGACAGACAGGCAGATGGTGATGAGGATGCATGCTTACGCTACACTGTGGTGTTGATGTCAACAGGAAACAAGCTGAGGAAAACTGCGATATCGTCACAGGCACGCGCTACGTCTCCGGTGGCGGTGTACGTGAGGATCTTAACACATGTAGCCAAAGCTGCTGGTTACTGACCTGATGCTGCGCTGTGTAGGTGTACGGCTGGGATCTGCGTCGCAAGCTGACGAGTCGTGTGGCTAATTACCTGGCGACGGTACTGCTCAATCCGTCCGTAACGGACCTCACGGGTAGCTTCCGACTGTACAAGCGCGACGTCATCGAGGACATTATGAGCGCGATCCAGGGACTGGGCTACGTCTTTCAGATGGAGATCCTCGTACGTGCCCGTCAACGTCAGTACTCCATCGACGAGGTGCCGATCACCTTTGTCGACCGTATCTACGGTGAATCGAAGCTAGGCGCCGGCGAGATCGTGGCGTACCTCAAGGGACTACTCAACCTTTTCTTTACGACGTAAAACTGCAGCAAAAAGCGAGTAGAGTACATCATGTTGTACGTAGTTCGAGGTCGATTTGTCACACTCTTGTTATCGGATACTTTTGCCTGTTTTACTCTTTCGTCTGAGCCCCCAAAGCTCATTAGTGACTATCTCCGCTGGGCTCGACCGCTTCAAGGTCGCTCTTCTTATAGTTTCGTCGTACATTCAGTAACTCATTCCATTCCACATCTCGTCATTCCTCCGCCTTCTTCTTCAGAGCGCCGCGCAGGTTTGTCGACATATCGAATGTCATTACGGGGCTCTCTTTTTCCAGTCGTACCTCCTCTGGCGGACGAGCAAACGTCCTAGCGACGTTGTCTGCAGCGGCGTCATGTTTAGCAGCAATCGAGTCTGCATCGTCGCCGCCAATGCCCAGCAGATTGCTCATGACGTCCATGGGTGCGTCAGTTCCACCTCCAAATACAAACACGAAGAGGATGAAACCCAGCACGAGCACCAGAGGCACAGAGCACATGACCACGCCCACTTTGAGGGGGGATGTGGTGGCTCTCTCAGACATGGGGGTGCATGTGCGGCGTCTGCTTCTCTTAAGACCAGCACGGCGCCGTTCCAGCTCTTGCATCCAGTAGTTGTGCTCGTTGTGATCTTGCGGATTGGGTTCGTCTTGACCGTGAGCGCGCGCCAGCGGCTTGAGCAGTGGTGTGCGTTCGGGCAGCTCCTTCATAGGCGCCTGCAGTGCGCTGTAGCCACTGATCTTGCTCATGCTATACATGTCCGGTGCGAACTTGGGCGTGACCGAGGCCTTGACTGGTTTGCGCTCACGCTCACCTTGCAGCAGCATCTTGAGCGCCGTCTGCGTGCGCTCCGAGAGCTGCAGCGACGCTCGCGTGCGCGCGAAGGCCGTGTCGGGACGCTCGACGTACTCCTCGACGCGGCGCTTATCCGGCACCGGGGATGTGAACGACACCGGCTGGTGCTCCGGGATGCTCTGCGGAATGTGGAAGCTACTGCTGCTGGAAGAGCGACTGAAGGAACCGTAGGACGGACGACCCAGTGGCCGCTGCGTCTTCAGATCCAACGCCGCAGACCAAAACATGATTCAACGAAGTAAGCGGTGTTTGCAATTGATCTGCTGCTGCCGCCGCGCTAGTTGTGAAGTGGGAAGGAGGCCTTAGCTAAGGTAGGACCCTGCTTGGTTGGCCTGGAGCGTTGAAGCTGATGTGGATCTTTAGCAACTCACAAGTCCAAGCGCCTCTTGGAGCCTGAGTCGCAGCCGCCTCTGCCAGACAACTCTGAGGTCTGGAAATGAGGCTCCAAGAAGTTTCCAGGCTGATTCGACTTTGGTCTGGCAAGTCGAAATGTGAAAGGGTTTACACCAGTTAGGGATAGAGACACGGCGACATATTAGAACCAAGTCTAAAAATCGAAAGTTAAACTATTCTAAAGAAAGACGACCTCGAGTTTCCTCTCGAAATGAATACTCGAAGGGACTGGTGACAGATCCAGCATACGCTGTCCAGTCATCTTGCTTTTGCCTCGAGAGACGAGTGTTGTTTGAAATACAACCGACGGGTTGTATTTAGCTGGCTCAGAAGTGCTTCTGCTATAACCGCCCACCGCGGTGCAAGCTAAGAACTTACAACTAAAATTAGACCGCTTCAACTTGGAGTAACCGCAAGTTGAAGTGGTAGAGCACGTTTTGTCATCTCCTTCAAAACCATTCCTTTTCGGAGGCTTTCCGGCCGTGACATCAGAGATGAGCTCTCTCTGACCAAGCAGCATTCATCACTTTCACCCACATAAAAGTTTTAGTACGAGGTAAATCATGGCGCGGCAACGACTACGAATCGCAACGTTTGCCTGATACTGCAACTGCGCGATGGCAAACATTGAACACGTACCGCGCAGCCATTCTTGCATACTAATACTGCAGGCTTGAATAGTCGCTCGTCGAGTCTGCTATCGAGCACTGCAAGGATCGCCAATTCAGGGGCTATTCCTCATGCGAGCTGAACCCAGATTGTCACGCCGCCTGTAATAGCAAGCGTGCAGACACCACGAACGCGGTTATAGTATTGGACATCTACGACACAGCAAGGAGTCGTGTCATTGCATTGAGTGCGTAAAGCAGTACTTTAAGTAAGAGTGTGAACCTGATTATCGATGCACACAATTGTAAAACGTAGATCTAATCACTGTGATTGGTGCTAAGTAGATGGCCGAAACGAACGCATATCAGTGAGCAGAAAGATATCGAACTTGAGATTTCATACGTGATACCACAATAACATTAAGGTCGTTTTGTTGACGATGTACGTACATGAGATGAACAGGTAAAAATGTCAATTGAGAAACACTACCACCACATTCAAGCCAAACAGGTACAAGGAAATGTATTCCCGATATGCGCTTCCTGCAATTATGGCTCGGCATCACTGTCCACTCCCAGAGTTTCGATGTCTCTGGCTGAATTTGCACCAGAACCTGGTGCTCCACGTTGCACTCTAGAATCAGATTGAGACGCGCAGATATTATTCAGGAGCTTTTCCCACCCCGGTTGCCCTCGTTCTACCTTGACTCGCCTGGAGAACGTGGCATCTCGGTCGTGTTTTGCTGCTGTCATTGCTCTGCTTTGGTACATCAGGTATTAATAGTGTCATTTCCAAGATCTCAAATGATGAGCTGGTGATAACAAACAATATGATTGGCTAGAACATAGTGCGCTCTAAGAGAAAGCTCCGCTCAATGCATGCTCAAATTCAGTATTTGTTTAATTTTTAAATAAAAATTACTTCACGTTCACAAAAAATAGGGATAGTTGGGCAACAGTTTTTTTTTTTTTCACGATCTTTATTTTCGTTTCGCTGACAATGAATTCTACTAGGTAGTATTGATTGCTCCCTAAAAAAATAGCTGATATCGGTGCCTTTCATTTGTGCTACAAACGTTGGCATACGTTAAAACTTGGCGCTGGTATGATAAATCAAAATTGACCCTACCGAAATCTCTCTTAATCTGGCGCACTACCTTATTCGAAGTATCCACCAAGGGAAAACGTCGATTCACACATAAGTTTTTGGTGTTACTGCAGCAGTAGCTAACTACTGAGAATGACTCATACACATTTCTTTTTTTTTTCGGACATTTAACTTATGTTAGTGGGGAGTGGACGCGTTGTGCGAGCTGTCATGCCACCAATTTGTCGGGTTATCTCTCACCTCATCAAAGTTCGCCTAGCGCAGCCTACGTTAGAAATCTATCGATGATTTTCGAGACGAAGGAGCTTCCGCAACAGGTTATGGTGGCAAAACGTGAGATCCAGCACTGGTTGCAAGTCCAGAAGCAGTTGACCGCGTCGATTCCAGCGTATAACAAGGTGGTGATGGAAAGACGGATTGCACTGCCATTGATCATCACTTCGTTTGTGTTTTTGAGCGATTTCACTTGAGCGATTTCACTTGTGGGTTGGACGGTGTGTTCCTTTTTTTGCTGCTGTAAAAGCTCATAGTCCATGAATTTGATGGTGTGTCACCCTCTTCGCGGGGATCGCAGATTTATTAATTCGTCAGCACCATGCGCGTTATATCGTAAGGCTTCCCACGTTCTAAACGCGTCGTCCGCTTTTAAGAGCTCATCCAGGATTTCTTTAAGCAATCCTCTGAGGTCGGCATTCTCGAGCATATACTTGAGCTGGATCCATAGTTGGCCAAGGACTCGCTCTTCCGTTCCTGGTGCTTCGTTTCGTTTGTGTCTTCGTAAATATTTTTTCGTGGGTGCATCGTCGTTATGCCCCTCATCGATTGGACGGACGAGGTCTAGGGCCCCCACCGACGACATCTTGGTTTGATCGGAGTCTACAGCGTTACAGGTCGCAAAGTAGATGGTAATTATCATAGCGCACAGCAGGGAAATCAAACGCATGATTCGTAGACTTGAGAGCTTTTCACCTTGGGGGGCAGAACGAGAAATGCCACTATAGTATATTGGTCATCAACCTGGTGGTGGTGCTCCCCCAACTGGCAGTCAGTACACTATTCACTACGATCCGCGAAACGTACAGACTGCAGACCGGAGATTACTCTTGGCGCAGTAATCTTCGCGTTGGCATGTACTGTAAATGTTATTGCCGCCTTTTTATTATTGGTTTTTAGATGAGCCAAGAATGCGACCTTTCCATCGTTAATACAACTGTTTTGTAGTATCGAAAGCCCAAAATTTGACAGATTCGAATAACAGTCTGGCTAACGCATTCTTGTTGCTGTATTTTATTATACTAGCTAGTATTATACTTTAAGGACTTGAAAGTAAATGCACACAATTTTTAAACACGAAAGCGTTTACATGGTGTCGGTCCCTGTAAGATGTAGCACTCGACAGTATCGGCACAGATTTCAACCACTTCGAAGTATTATTTTGAGTCCCCGTATGATTTTCTAGCCGTTTGAATAGTTGGCATACATTTCAGTGATGAGGCACTCGCACATCTGTACATTAGGTCGCAAGTAGAAGAAAAGAGCTCAATCACATTAGCTTATTATAATATTTTAGCCCAGTGGTGGTACAAGTGAGATCCACCCTTCTAAGATGACTAGTGAACGGAGCTGGGCACGCTCTTACAACCCTACAACTCTAATACCTGATAATTGCACGGATCACAAATGATGAATTCCAAGCAACTGAAAAAGGACACTTTTTTGCGGACATGTACTTTCAAATGCTATGTGCAGACGAGTCGTACGTTTATCATGGAATCGCATGTTCGCGAACGCGGAGTCTTCGGTTATGGCTTTCCAAGTTAATTGCGATAGATACCGATTTGTGACAAAACGGTTGTCGTTCCTTCGAACACTGTCAATCTACCAACATGCTTACCCACAAAAAACAACTCTAGGATATTATATTTTACATGCCATTCGTTTGACGGAAATTATGACCCTATCTCGCCGCTGCTGCAACGGTGCATCGCACACACTTTGCGGTATGCATGCTAGGCTAGCAGTCAGTGAAGAACCTTGTGAAGCGTTATATTGTATGCATCCATGAGCCTGTCACAGCAAATCATGATGTAAACGTCAAGCACGTAACACTACGGTATTTTTTCTGTTGGGTCAAAAATGACTAGGTCTGGTTTATGCCTCAAACATGAGCATCGTGTAGATCATTTCGGAGGGAATCACTGGCTTCGGAAGCGTCGCATATGCTTCCAGGAAACCCTCCCATCTGCTTATTAAGCAGGCAGTACTTTAAGCTTTAAAAAAACGACCTGGTGACTTTTGCAGTCAGGTTAGGTAGCGTACATGTATAAAGAGTATCGTATTTACTTAAATAATAGCGAACGGCAGTCTTAAGGTCGAGAGTCCATTGATGGAGAGCAGAACGAGAAATGACACCGGTGGTGGTTTATCTGTTAAATAAAACGTGTCAGCCATCGGCACGTAAACACACATTATTTTTTTTTAGATTACTGCACGGTAGAAAACAAGTAATCTTGATGTCCGAACTGTATTCATGTGGTACAATTGTGACAGGAACGTGCTGTATCCAGAAAACTGTGTGCGAGTGAAGTTGCCATCGTAGTGATTCATTGTATAGTGCAAGAACCCGTGAGGAGATCTTCAGAACACATTCATGAAAGTGCTTGATCTACCCAAGCGAGATTACCAAGACTTTGTGGGCTCCGACGGAAGAAGATTAATAGCTGGGCACTCGAGCGTGTCAACGTGAGATTGTCACGTAGGATTGTGTTAAATCCAAAAAAATATATCCCAAGCAATGTAAACACGTACTACTCCATGTAAAAACTGTATAGCACATGTACTTTACATTGTAAATTACAGTGCAACGAGAATAACCTGTCCTGGACAATGCGTATATCGTTGATGCGAAAATTCGATATAGCACTGCTACTAGCAGTATCCGGTACAGACAGATTCGGTTGATTTTCTTTTATATTTAAGTAACCTTAACTTAAAGTAAGGATTCTTCCAATGAAGTAAAGATACTTTCTTGACTCGGTGCGCAGTAATAAAGACGATCCGCGTGGGATACTTCGCGATAAACCACAAGGAATCCCTAACATGCAGCATGGCGTGAAGCGAATGCTCTCCAGGCTAGGTCGTCTGTTAAATATGTTGTTGATACTAGAGGTGCATCTAGCAATCCCATGCGAGCCATTAGGGACCCGCATTTACTACTAAAGTAGTAAAAACGAGGTAGAAATATAAGAACGAGGATTTTAGGTTGATATCCAGAGTCACGTAGACCACTCGTTCGTACATCATCCTATCCTGGTCGATATCAAAGCCAGTTCGGTGTGGAGGTTACAAATACATGTACAGTATTGAAACCTGATTCAGGTTACCTGAAGCACACGAAAGATGTCTCGATACGACAGCCTGTCGGCATGCAAATCTCGACCTTTACAATCACACGTACTAAGCACGGATAAGTGCTTCATTGAACGGGCACAGGTAACATTTGTTTAGTTTATTGACTTATCACAAGAATCGATGTACATGGTCATCACTGTACCGTATCACTGCGTATTTGTGTCGGCTTTCAGGAATTTGTACATAAAAAAATATCCTGGCTATTTTTCACGGATAATGAATTACAAGTCGGATGTCTGAATAAATTTCCGAGAACAACCAAGGTTTCAGTTCTAAAAAAATCTTTAATACTTCGAAGTAATAAACAAAGTCGTGTTGCGCACGAAGAAGCTGTGAAATTTCGAGTATGGCATGTTAACAACAGCTATAAAACAGTGCAAATAGTTCAGGTGAGTGGAATTCGAGTGATATGTATCCCTTGCAGGGATATGCTACAGCATGACCACGGGGGGGGGGGGGGGGTTATACCACGGAGAATCTAAAGCGTGCTCCGTTCGTGGCTAAGATGTCAGGTTAAGACACGTGTCTGAATGTGCTCTACAGTGCAGCATTGTACTCAAGATCTCCGCGGCGAAGCCCGCTCTTGTGAGTGGTGCAGGTACGTCTGAGAGTGCAATCGCTAAGCTTCCAGCTCCAAGAATCAAGAGATGAGAGTACAGTATGCAAGAGAGAGCAAACTACGACTACACTTCAAGTCCCTCCTGTCTTCGATTAAAAGACTCCAACGCGCATTCAACCGCAGAAGTTCGTTGAACTGGCAAAATAATTGGAGCTTCCGACATTTTCAAGAACGTGGTCGGGTACCTGGTTCTTAGGCTACTCACAGCATCTCTAAGGAATGTCTAGGCACAACAGCCGAGTGAGTAGCAATGTATATGTAAGTGGTTCCTGGGTCATCATTATGGATAACCCTATGGGATAAGCGATATCGGGGTGGCCAACATTCACATGGGTGATTTAAAAGTAATATAGGTGTAAATTATTATATCAATGACTCCCAGTTTTTTTTTTTTTACAGTAATGAACCAGATGTTAATCGGACCATTTAATTTACGGAGAGGTGTTTTTTTTTTTTAAATGTCTGTAAGGGTATTAATTTTACGAATTTATTCACTGAAGAATAGCAAGCAATTCATGTAAAGACGGTACCATTTTAGGCTCATACATGAACTATGCGAGGAAAATTGGATCCACGGTAGACTGAAATAAATTTCAGAAAATTGGCCACAACTCTACACATCTACAAGAAGGCAATCGTCTCTACTGGGAGCAGACTGCAACTGCAATATCCATTGCACACATTCAATATCCTACTCGGGTTGAGAGGGCAATCACATGACATCGTGTTCTTAAAGCTCATATCTATCCGACTACTCTTCGTCCAAGTCCTCCTCAGAGTCCTCCTCTTCGTCATCATCGTCAGATTCCTGTAGCCAGTCGATAAACTCTTGCACGTCCTTCTGGGATGCAGCCCCAAGAGCATCCAACGTCTCCTCTTCGTCTGCATTTGTCTGCTTGGCCTCGTACCATTCCAGAATCACGTCCTCACCGACCCACTCCAGATCGTACACAGTCTGCAACAAAAAACGGAACAGCGGGAGCCACACAGCCCGACGCTCTTCCGGTTCAGCACAGTAGCCCTCGAGCGCGTCCACAATAGCCAACTGGTCCTCCTGCTCCACTAGACACCGCTGGATCACCGAGCTCCACTTCTGGAACTTGGCATGCACATTGCCCAGAATTGTCATCGCCGATTGTCCATTACCCGTCGGGATCAGGTCCAACAGACCAGGAATAATAGCTCCAATCACCTCAGCAAACGACCGGTTCTGAGCGAACTTGAAACTCTTGATCTCCATGAACAGATCATCCACGTTGTGTCCTGCCGCATCTCCAGTGCACACGTTCTCGCGGATAATCTGTTGAAACGGCACTTCCATCGCAGTGGCGTTGGCCTCTGCGAGGAGATCATCGTCGTCCTCGTCTTCCTCCTCCGACGAGCTGAGCGTGTCCCATTCCTCCCAGCGGTGCATCTTCTTAGCCACAACATCATGTGCTCCAATGAGAGTACTCTTGAGTTTCTCCAGACGACGCGCCTGCTTCTTCGCTTCCGTCTCATCGTCCTCGTCTTCGCTGTCCGAATCCACTTCAATGTCGTCCTCGTCCAGCGTCCAGATGCGTCCGACGCCGCCCACACCAACCTCCTTCGGGTTCCACTGAGTCGGCGTGTTATCTGTCGCTTGTTCCTGCTTAGCCGACGTCTCCTCGTCGTCATCTGAGAAGAACCCATCGTCTTCCACTTGTGCCAGACTCTTCGTCACCTTCGTGAATGGCGGCAACGTGAAGCCTTCGCCAATCACCACACCGAACGAGAGCACGCAGCCCTCTCCAATCACAGCGCCACGCTTCACCACCACGTTGTCACACAAGATGGCGTTGGTCACCACTGCGCCGTCCTCCACCACGACATTCGACCACAAGAAGCTGCCCTCGATCGTCACGTTCTCGCCGATCACACAGCCCTTACCGATGGCGCTCTTGCGTACACGGGTGTGCTCTGCAATCGTCGTTCCTGCTCCCAAGATGCACTCTCGCTGAACGTCGCACGTCCTGGCCAGCGTCACGTTGGCGTCCTTGTAGCGCATGCCGCGTAGATATTCGTAGTGCGTCACTGCTCCTGCTCCGAGATAGTTGGCATCAGGCACCATAGGGAACACCCAGCGTTGCAGAATCGCCTGCGAGACACCTGCGTACGTCCTGGGGTCCATCACTCTGGCCGCGAACTCGTCCGTAATGACCTTAACGAAGAATTTTTTGCCCAATTCGTAGTTCTGCACCTCATTGTGCAAGAAATCTCGTCTCAAATCTTGATAGTCGAAGTCTTCAGCGAATTTGAGCAGCACCTCGGGTGAACATACGTCCAAGTAGCAGTCCAGAAGGTCGCTACGGAGCGCGATCTGGGCGTGATCCTCGAGAAACAGCGTGGCGAGACGAGTGCTGCGTCGCTCGGGCTCATCCTCGTACAGAACGAGCTGCGATGTGGCGGCGTCCACGCCCACAACCAGCTCGGCGTCCAGGGGCCGGACGCTAGTGGCGAAATTGGGTCGTAGTTCCTTAAAAATGCTCGTCATGATGCAGTTCGGGTCCGCTTTCTTACGGCTTTTGTGCTCGGCAATTGCCGCCTGCAGGTCCACGTTGGCCACCACGTCGCCGCTCATTAGTACGAACGGGTTGCTCTGTACCAGTTGACGCCGGTCCAGTTCGCGTAGTGCGTCGCCCGCTGTGAGGCAGCTGGGGCTGCTGACACACGTGACGTCGAGACGCCTTGCCACTTGCGATTCGTTCTCGATGAAGTGCTCGATGGCTTCAGCGTGGCCTGTGCAGAAGAGCAGAACTTCCTGTACACCTGAAGAGGCCAGGAACTCGAGCGAATATTCGAGCATCGGGACGTTGGCTAGCGGGAGAAGAACCTTAGGCAACTCCAGCGTGATGGGGCGGAACGTCTCCGAGAAAGAGTCCGCGAAGAGGACGGCCTGTAGCGGCGCCTCTCGGCGCGTATCATCGCTAGCGGAAGCGCTTGGATTGCGGCGAGGCATATTGGATTGAATGGCACGGACAAAAGTGTAGACAATAATTGCCAGTCTAAATAACACTTTAACAATTATGGGTAAAAAGTCACATTTTGCAATTTCTTGCCAAAATGGGTAAACCAATATAAGTTCTATTTTGTTTTCAGTCACAATTCCAATTTTATTTTGTAACGTTAACTTCAATTTAGGTCAAGTTGAAAGATGCCTCTGCGAGGCTCGGCGTCGTGTTCGGCGTCGTGCTCGGCGTTCGATGTATCGACTCGCAAGGTGCCGTCGCTGGCGTTGGTGCCTCGCGGGCATCTGAACCACGCGATGCGAGCTAAGAAGAAGGTGGCGGGTAGTATTCAACACACAAAACAGCAAAAGCAGCAGAACGAGCTGTCTGAACAACCTCGAAACGAAACAGACGACACTTTGTCTTGTCCACCACATCCTGCGCGACGCGAATCAATCAGGGACACTCTCGACGAGCTAGATGAGCAATCGGAACCTGCTCAGGAGTCTGAAGGGCTCGAAGAAGTGCAGGAAGATGAAGACAATGATGTCCACATTCAATCCGAGCTGAGACTAGGCGAGCGGTTCCTGAACATGATGGCGCTCATGGCCCGCCTTTCGATGCAGTCTTTAGGGGACAACGCCCCCATGTCTGCTAGCCCACACCGCCTCACGGAGAGGTCATTGCCCTTCCACACCGATAGAACACTCCTTGGCACTCCTCAACGAGCTCTCAGTGCTGCCACAGCTTTTCCACCTCAGCAACAATCACCAGTAAAGTCCCCTCCAACGTCCCCGATACACGCTGTCCGTAAGGTGGCCAAGCGACTGCCACGTGCATTGCAAGGGCCGTTAACATTCGACATCTGCATGCTCCTACCAACACCACTAGACGAACGACAAAGCCCGTTGCGGTCGCCAATTCGACGCAAGCGACTGCGAAAACGTGTGCGTCGACGAAGGCTGAGACGTCGAGCACGACGCACTTGGCAGGCGTCACATGCCTCCTGGCCACCGCACGCTTCGGCAGACTACATCGTAGATCATGCTCGTCAAGATATCGCAGGTATCAACGCAGCTCGTCTGGTGGAGCGTCTAGACGAGCGCAGAGTCGACGTCCAGACTCTTCCTCGAGTGCTTTCAATGCCTCTGCCACCACTGAACCGGAATGACAAGCGCGTGTTTGCCAGCAATATGGCGGGAGCTGTAGATAACTACGAAGATGCTGGTACTAGCGACGACGATGGTCAGGAAAGCGATGGATGCAACAGCGTTGATGAAGAAGAGCTCGTTGATAATGACCAAGGAGCTTTGCAAGAGGAATACGAGAGCAACGAGGTGAGTTGGGGGATTCGTCCAATTTCATGTGATACTAGTAGATTGACTGTGTTCACTGTTCGCTGTACATGACCACTAACTCTATGTGGCACTTCTCGTGGCTGCTCTCAGACGCCTTTGCCTATTGACAACACCGCCGCAACTGCGACGTTATCTCCACGCGAGCAAATAGCAGACAAACCGCCAGCTCAAACACGGCGACCGCTTTATCACCAGCCAGCTTGGATCTCGCCCGAGCTGCACACGTGGCTTGTCGCGTCTCGACTCTTTGCGACCAAACCGCGCCGCGAGTTGCTTCCCACTGGCCTCTGAGCAGCGCCATGTCCACACTTTCACCTAAATATTAACACCACGGGGCACAGCCGTGGACTTCCCACTTATCGTATCGTCCGCTTCTCATCACGGAGTCGTAGTCCTTTAACGGCTTATGTTTTGCCGGACTTGTATGTGCCCGCCGGCGGTTTGTAGCAGTCGGGCAGCATCTTGCGCTGCATCTCGTTGAAGGCGAACTTGTCCGCCTTTGTGTTCATGAAGACGTTGCGTCGGCGCACGCCGTACAGCCGCATGTTGGCACACAATGCCGCACCTTGAGAGGCCTGGAGCTCCGCACAGAGCAGCCGTGCCTGCTCTAACGTGACGGACATGGCCGTCCGGTCCTTGCCACTCTTACAGCACGTGACCCGCGCGCCGCCTAGAGCTCTGCAGAAATCCGACGAGTCCATCAGGAGCGCCACGTTCTTCTTGTACTGACTCGTGGGCGAGCAAATGTGGTGCTCAATCTGCACCAACAGGTCGTCCAGAGCTTGCAGGTCGTGGCGGTCGATAGCCATTGCGGCCTCGTCGGCGTCGTCAATGGCAGAAGACGAGATGGAGCTGTGTGCTCGCAGTCGCCGGCTCTGTCGTACACGGAACTCCGTCTCTTCTGTGCGTAGCTGCCGGTACAGAGCGTAGATCCGCTTCAGTTCGATCAGGTTGTCCCGGTTCACACGCTCTTGTAGCTTGACAGCGCTGGACTTGTAGGCGTGTACCAGACTCTGCTTCTCATTGACGCCCTGAGTGAACAGAACGCAGCGGATATGAACGACGCCGTCACCCGAAACGAGCGACGGTGGCAGCACCGACATGTGCTCGTCATCGATGCCCATTGTCAGCAGTAAACAGTTATTATCATTCGCGTTGGATCCCGCCGGCGTGTACTTCTTCAACGAGAAGAAAGTGCCCGTAGTCGAGTGTCGACGAAACTGGATAAATACGTTGCGTAGCCATCGCGCTCCAGCGGCAAAGTCCTCCAGCATGCCGTACTCTTTGCCCTGTGTACTCAACAGCGACTCAAAGTTCATAAGGAAGCCGAAGGTTGGCGCACGGTCAATCTGAGCTTGATGCAGAGCGCTCCCACTCAGCGCCAGATCCAGTGACGCCAGTATACAGGCCGCGGTAGCCGATAGAATCTGACTGCCAATGACAGTGAGACGGTCCTGAAGCTCGAGACGCAGCTTGAACGCAGTCAACGAGTCATCCGAGGACGCCGTCGTTTGTGGTGACGGTCCGTTGACTGTTGTTGCTCTCGATACAGGCGACGTCGGACTCGGGAGATCTCCTTCATTGCTGCTATCCAACAGAGACTCGTCTTCAGCTGCACCAGTCGGGTTGACTGTCATAACGGGAACTGTAGCGGGGTAGCCTCCGTTCGCGAAGCCCTTGGTATGTGCTGCAGGACACCCCATCGTCATGGTATGCCACACAAAAGGTCGAGATGAAAGAGGCACACTACGGCCCTGCTTGTTGCTCGTAGGAGGCTTGTACGTACACAGGAACTGGTCCTGCATGTTGGTGGGCAGAAACTGCCACAAGTTGAGGTTCTTGTACGTACTCCGCTTGAACGGCGCCACTGCTTCCGTCTCTGCTCCAGTTGACGCTGCACTGGCCACAGACGAGCTGGACGCTCCCAACGAGTCCCTTTCATTGGCAACTGAGACCATCCCAGCACGCTTGGCGGCCAGGAAGAACTTGCCGTCCTTTTGCTCGTCCAGCAACCGCTTCTCCTGTCGAATGAGGAACTGACGCTGTTTAAGGTACTCCTCCTGCTTCTTACGCAAGAACTCGAGCTCAGTATTCAGTCGCTCCACTTCACGAGGAGTTGCAAGCTTAGCATGCAACTGCTTTTGTAGCCATCTCGTCCGTTCTAACGCTTGTTCCTCGAGGAAATCCAGATACGCAATCGGTAATGCAAAAGTACTTCTCGGTACGCGTAAGATTTCATCCACTGCCACAAACCGAAGATTGCCGTTCGGAGCTTCATTCAGAGTCCCCAAGCCAATACCAGTGAGGAATGTGTCGTTCTCCATAAAGGTACGCACGTCGCTACCACGAGTACCACCGGGAATATCGGCACGCGTTGTTGTAGCCATTTTGCCAGCAGTCTCGCGACCAGGAGCCAGAGTTGTCGGGATAAGATACTTGGCATTTGCCATGTCAACGCCTGTGGTAGGGAGCACACTTTGTGGAGGCACAGAACGGAAAGCCTGTACCACTAGCTGCACACTCTCACTGTCGCTAAAAAGACTCGAAGATGAGCCACTGCCAGGAGGAAGAGGGCCTCCAGGCTCTCCAGTTTTCTTCTGTGGCAACGGGTTGTTCGTAACAAGGGAATCTCTGGACGACGTGCTGCGTTCTGTCACTGCCACGGCACACGGCGTCGAGCCTAACAACTGTGCGTCCAATAGACATCTCCCCACGCCAATTGTGCCCTGAATGTTGCCCGGACTCTGTGTAAGTTGCGTCTTGCACAAGGCAAGTCGCAGCTGGTCATAACGCTCCAATTCCGCCGTCATAACGACCGAAAATGGCACGGGAGTGGGCTCCCCGGATGTGCCAGAAGCTGCTCCACACGTCGCCACTAAAGTTGTCAATTTCACTGCGTCTGTCACGCCCAGTTCCACGAACGAATTGCTGCTGCGGATGTAGCCACTGACAGTGACAAAACATCCCGTGCGGTCCTTATCTTTGTCCAAATGCTCCACGGATTTTGCCAATTTGCTGCGTCTACCCATCACCACCGAGATTGATAAATCGTATAATCGCCGCTGACCATTTTCCGGTGTTGCCGATCTGGTGGAGCCACTGGCACTGCTGCTTGTTAGGCGATGAGGATTTTGGTATCGTCTTGTGCTGATCTCCATTTCGTCCACTCCGCTGGTCTCCGTGTCATCCCAGTTCTGTGACGACGACGCACTGGCCTCCAAAAGATCTTTTTCAGTGGCTCGCAAAGTGTGCACGGTCGTTCCTCTAACTAGTGAAGAGCGGCGGCCGTCAATGGAAAAACTCGACATGGAAGTGTTAACCGAGAATTTCGACGCTCGAATGGCATCTGCCAGTTCTTGGCAGGAATCAATCCATCGCTTCTGGTTCTCGCGACTCTCGGCTTCGAGCAAGAGCGTGTGTGCATCGGTGCGGATCTGGAATCGGAACGGGGCGTGGCCTCCGCCACTGCGGTCCAGTACGATCGTGTCTTCCGTGATGGGGATTTCACCTAGCAGCTCCAATTTGTCCTCGGACGTGAAGTAGCACAAGCTCGGACAGTCGCTGCGAAGAATGAAAAACCTGGTTTTCCAGTTGCGTCTCCAGCTTCCCTGTTTCGTGAGCGTGCCAGCGCGAAGTACGTCGTCAGCTGTGAACGTTGATGGAGCTGCCGGGCGCACTGGCGCGCGCTGTTTGATTCCGGAGGCATTTTTTGCCGCTTTGCCACGATGGCGTAACGCACTGAGCACTTTGGACCGCTCTTTCGTCTCGAACACCTCGTTATGGAACTTGCCAAACGTGCTGCACAGTTGCGTTGAGCGCGCCGTCGTCCCTGTCCTCTGTTGCATCACAGACACAGAGTTAGTCTCGCCACTTGCTGGCAAATACTCGACAGCTTCTTAATCGCAAACAACTGAGACTTTACCACTCCGTCGTTCAGGTCAATCGTGCCAACGGAGGATGAAGTATTGTGCAAATTGCTGAGGAAGTCGTCGTCGTCCACTGCCACATCCTCCATCGTGTGCGACACTGACCGCACAAAGGGCGACGGGCCTTCAGCTAGGAATGTGCGTAGGCTGAGCGGGTACGAGTCGTAGATGGTGGCGCCCTTGGCCGCGATTCGTGCTCTCCCCACTGCTGCCGGGGACGCCATCGCAGCAGACGATCGAGCGATGGAGCGAGCGAGCGAGCGATGGAGGAGGAAGCGCTCGATCGAGTTAGAGAGTGCTAAAGTACCAGTGCCAGCAGGAAGACAGACGACAAAGAGGGATAGGCCTTACGGTCGTCCCGTTTCTGACCACTTTTGTCTTCGCGTTTGTATGTAATGCAACCAATTATTTTGGACCAGCACATTATTTTTCAGGATGGACTTCTTTTTTTTTTTTTGCAGGTCGAAAAAAAAAAAAAAACCAGTGTGTACTCGCGACCAAATTGCATCGTCGCTGTGGTGCAACCGCGAGTAACATGTGCGTCTTTATTGAAGGCGGCAAAGCTCAGCGATGGCCAGCAGTATTGCTGACTGCAGGAAGGTGGCGGACCAAGATGTACATTGCCTTCAAAAATATCCACTCGAGAAAAAAAAAAAAAAAGTTTGGCAATTGCACCCGTACCCGTACCCATTTTGACGAAGCTTTTTAACCCGAAGTCTGTCATGCACACCTGTGTATGTAGCTAATACAGCTAAGTGTGAGCTAGGAGCCCTAGTAGGACTCCACGCGAACACACACGAGCATGAGAAGGGGTATCGATTCAGATGGCCGGTGCAGCCACGATCGGCAACTTCAATGTGCGCGCGAGTTCCAGGCAACGACGGCAACCGCCGAATTACCGAAGTAGAGCAAGCGTTAGTCTCCACACGTGCAGGTAACCGGCAGCCACGCGCTTCAACGTAGTACGAGGGTTGTCCATTTTTGCGTTTGAAACGTCCTCGACGCGCGACGCGACTAGTCAGCTCACCGAAACCGGATATTCCGACCTACGTGTATGTAACTGAGCTCATGTACACTTGCAAACACCGGCAAAAACCCACAAATTGGCAACTATGAAATAACGATAAAGTAGTTTTTTATGAAGCTTCGACGATGTGCACTTGCAAACACCGGCAAAAACTGCTTAGCGTCACTCTGGCAACAATGAAAAAAAACGATAAAAAAGAGGTTTTTATGAAGCTTCGACAATCGTCACTGGCTCGCTTGCGTCTGGAAGGCAATGGCAAAGTCCTCGAAGCTGACGACACCCTGTCCGCTGCGGTCCTTCTCGGTAATCCAGCGCTGGATTTCCACGTCCGAGAGTCGATGAGTTCGCCCAATCAATTGGTTGTCCATGGCTCGCCGCAAGTCGATGAAGCTGATGACCCCATCGCCATCTACGTCATATTTGCGGAAAATCACTTGCAGCGCTTCGTTTTGCGGTGGTGTAGCGCGGTTTTTGCTTGTTTTGCGAGAAAATGTCCTTTTTCGAGGTTGATCTGGGCTGGAAACTGATAATTCTCCGTCGGAGATGTCTTGCTCTACTTTGTTCTTGCTGTGTTTTGACTCTGCCGCTTTTTTCTTTGATGGGTTTCGCTTTGTACTTGCTTCTGAAAACTTTCGGTTTCCCTCCTCCGACGAAATGTTTCCTGGAAACGGTGAATAGGCATCGGAGTCCAAAGCTTCGTCATCTGCTGCGTCTTTCGGTTTTCTCGTTGCAGGTTTCGTAGATCGTTTTACGACATGTAACGCTGAGTCTGTCAAGAGAGCTTGAATAACGCTTGCACTTTTCTGAGCACGAGTTGCAGTTCGCTTTGGCTTAGACAGTTTAACGGGTGATACCAATGCCCTCTTCAACTTGACTTCATCCTCGTCCGAACTCATTGTTTCCACCTTGACACTTGGGTTCTTCCGTCTGCGATCGTGTGACAACGTCTGCGAGACTGAGTATGGTACCGTTTGAGCGACAGTTTTCTTCGGTTTGCATCTGGGTTCAAATGACAACTTTGTTGCAACAGCCACACAACCTTGCCAGTCTTTCCAGAACACGTCAACTCGTGGATCGTTGTCTGCGATGTCGAGTTTTGCATCTTTAGCCTGGTGGAAAGCTACGACCCAAGCTGGAACTCCCACTGCTTCGAGTTGGTCGAGGAATATCCGACTGGGACTTTGGGATGAGAAGTCCACACACAAACAACAAACCACTTGCATCACACGCTTGCACACAGCGACCTGTTTGCTGGAAATATTGCCGAAATCTCTTGTTTTCCGCAAAAATGTTGCCTCCTTCGCGATGAGATCGTGGTGTAACAGAAGCTTGCACACTTCCGCAAAAAGCATCTGAGTGTTTACACTCTTTTCACATCGAGAAGCAGCAACCACTAGCACTTCTAGAAACATCAGAGCCTCTAATCTATGACGGAGACTATTACTTTGAAGGAGTCGTGTAAACACCGCTGTGTCCAAGAAGTTCGTATCGAGAATGCGAGATGTAACAGTGCGACTGTCGAAATAGAGCAGCATCGACCAAAGTTGCCTTTTCTCTTCGATCGATAGAATTGTACAATCTAACAACTCGAGCATTTTTCGGACACTCACGCAAGTGTTTAAAGTGGCAAATGCCACCTCGTCGTATTTCCTTGCATGTACGAAATTGGTCAGCAATGCCGCACCACTTTCAATCAGCACGTGGATAGTGTTGCCCTTACGTCTCGCTCCGTTGGGCAGGATCTTTACCCAGCGAACCAATTCGTGTGCCACATTTACAGATTCCCCACTGTCTTGTGCGTTAAATGTTGTGAGCTCGACGATATCCTCTATCAAGACCGCTGGATGCGAAATAATCAAGTGTAGAAGTGAAAATCCAGCAATTATCACGTCACCTTGCGCTCTTGACAATTTCACGCCTTTGTCTGTCTCAATCAGAGTGGGAGATGAATGCAACGCCACATTCTTCCACGCAGTTTCCATCCAGCTCCAAATCTCTTTGCATACCGGTGCAAATCCACGAACATGAACTTTCATCGATGTGGCAGCGTAGTTTACGAAGAGCGCTTTAACATACAAAATCACGTGCATTTGTTCATTGATAGTCCCATTCATGTGACTGATATCTCTTGCCAGATCGATGGCGTGACTCACTTTCCCATAGTCAACACTGGACATGAGATCTCGTTGGAAAGTTGAGTCACGAGTTGCCACAGTGGCATCATCAGCTTCTTCACGGAATGTGTGTGATAACAGCAATGTTCGCATCAAACCTACAGCTCGAGTACTTCCAACGCAAATAATTGCCTCCAGTATCAAGCGAAATGGCGAGCAATTGCGTCTCGTCGACTCTGAGGCAAAAACTCTCCACTTGGTGGAAAAATCCGGAACTACTCGCTGAGCTTTATGAAAAAACTGGTTCATCATGTTCAAGTCTTTGATTTTCACAAACGGCAGTGAATTGGCTTTGCAGTGAGCAATTATCAGTTGGTTTATACCCGCCACTCCCCAGAATTGCGTGGCATTATCACCTCCACGAAGACAATTGACCAGCCACGAGATTCCTACACAAAGGATAGCGACAAGAGGCTGTTGGCTTCTCGAAGCACTTGATGCACCACTTTCTCCCAACACTTTAAGCGCTCTAATGGTTTTGTCTAACACACGTTTCACCTCGCTTACCACGCTCTGGGAGCATAATTGTATGGCAAAATCTCGCTCTGGACAGGTATATGAGTAGGAAGATAGAGGAGTGGAACGATCAGTTGGACTTCGCAGCAGATCAAAGCGGAACACGCGAGTGCTGCAATCGAGAAGCGATAAGGCACCTAAAACGATCTTCTCGTCGCTGTCACGGAGAAGTGTGCAGATAAGCCGCTCAAACCGTAGATTTTTCCAAACTTTTGCTACCAACGAATCCACTAGAACCATAGGAAAACATCGTTTACGCTCGAAAAACACTGGACCAAACAACTGCTGAAGCGCTGCCAGCCGAAACTTGGGGACATTAACACCACTCGTAAGCTTAAATTCGATCTCTTTCGTTTCGTAGACACGCCGCAGATAGTTCGCTGTCATCGGAGCTTCACCGGAATATCCATTCTTAAATAATTCGTCTTCTGCGGCACTGCTAGGAGTATGACGAGGAATCCGAGGATCGTGATTGTTCCACCATAAGTTTCCTTCTTCGCTTTGATCTGGCGGCATTTCTACTGTTGTGTAGCCGAACACAGGTCGCCGAGAATCGAGCCACCGCAACAGAACAATGAATTTACTAGCTGTCATTTCGATTCCTAATAAATTTCGGAATAAAGGCTCGCTAAGTCGCCAGAGAACGGCATTTTCAGCTACTTCTCCATGAGAGTGTGCAGTTTTATTCAAACCATTCCTCGGCATTTGTCCACTTGCTATGCTCACCAAACTATCGAGAATTTGCTGTATAGTAGCCATAAAGAGCGGATTGCATCGAAGCTCGTCAAATTGTGTATTAGTTTCCACAAGTTCAAACACGTTGGCAACACTGTGCAAAACAATTTCAACCGCCTTACGCCCTAGATCTCGGTTGCCACGTTTTGAACACTGCATAAGCATTTGCAGTGAGATAGCGCAAAGCTGACAAGGAACGTGATTATCCATCATTTCACCCAAAGTTTTCGTATATATCTGAGTGTCCGGTAGATTTTCCTTGTCAACTGTAGATTTTTTCAGCTGGAAAAGCCGTTCCAGAAGCATTGTCCAGCTTTCAGTCACTTGTTGCAGAGAATTTTCACTACACGATTTGTCTTCGCATTCCTCTAAACATACGCGAAGATCTTGAAGCAGGTTTTGAAGGAGTCTCTGAAGTTTCACGAGATTTACGAAATGTCTTGTTAGGGATTTTATCTGCACTGATTCATCAGATAAAACGTTAATCCCAGGACGTCCGGCATGCACCCAAAGTGATTCTATCCCTGGCCGAGAATTTGCTGGTTGCAAGCTTAAGAATGCAAGCTCACAAAGCCTTTCAAGTTCCTCATTTTCTCGAGTTCCTACTCCACAAGCAGCAATTTGAGGAACACTGGAGAAATCCGTCAAAGGTTGACTTTCTCGCTCTTACTAGAAACCAAATGAAGCACTTGGCTCCTCATTTTGCGCAACATTTCGTCGTCAACGTCGTGTTTATCCACATCAAACTCGTCTTCGCTGAAAAATCTATGCAACAATTTGTAGATGAAAAAGCCAAAAATTCGAGCTATTTCTCGCCCAAGTGGGTTTGCGTCTTCACTCTCTCCAAAGCGAACAAAGAACCCATCAGATAGTGAACATAACCGAAGTCCACACCCGTCAGGGGAGACTAGGAGCATATCCATGTCGATATTCTCTCTCATACTGAATCGTTCATTATACAAAGTAAGGAGCGCCATCAAGACCCGAACGCTCCAAGACCAAAGCAGAGGCTTCCAATACTCAACTGAAAAAGTTGAACTGTGCATGAATTTTAGACATTCGGTAAGAGAGCTCCACCCTCTTAACGATTCCGCTACAATACAACGAAATTCGTCGGTGTCACCTGTATATACCATCGTTCCATCCTTCGCTGGAAGAATAGGAGCGTCCATAATATCGAGACACGCAGGGAGGAAAAACTCTCGAACTCGGAAGTGCTGCACCTTGCGGAGGAATGTTAGTTCCTGATTAAAACAGTTTTTTGTCTCGTCGTCAGTGTTCATGATCACGTACAGCACCGATAGCGGAATAAAGTCTTCTCTGTCTTGTAATTTTCCACTAGCGTTCATCACGAATCGATCTCGGCAACGAATAGTATCGCAACGATTTTCGAGAGTAATTGACGACACTTTTGGCGAAACAGAGGGTAGTGGGGTCTTCAAAAATCGCTGAAGCTGCTGTTGATCGGCAGTCGTAGGCTGTAGCACGTTCACGTCTTTATCTCTGGACGTATCGGACTGCAGCGTGTTCTGACTCTGGGCCAGTTGACGAAG